CGTGGCTTGTGGATGTAGTAAAGTGATGGTTAGTTTGCATATTACTTTTTTATTAGGAAGGATGTTTATAAATGGAATATTTTAGGGTTTTGCTAAATTACATTAATATAGTCATTTAACATAAATCTCTCTCTGTAAAAACTTAATATGCCAATTATGTCCAAGGGAGTTTGACCAGGGACCAATAGCTCACTATGGCATGCACTGACCACCAGGGGGTGGCACGGAATGAAGGAAAGCCCTGGCCAGCCGCTGGTAGCCAGGGAAGGAAGAACCTGGCCGGCAGCTGAAAGGCGCCAATTGGCTTGGATAGCTGGCCAGGCCTAGGGACCCTACCTGTGTGTGGATTTCGTACACCGGGCCTCTAATATAATGAATCTCATAGGCTGTGTAATTGTGGCTCTTGAAAATATACTATATTCTTGATACTAGTATGTGCTTGATGCTGAGTTAGAATTGTCATGTATTTATCTATAGGACATATATATATAAAACTAATTTTAGTTTAGGAACAAACTTCAATTATTCAAATAATTGAGTTAAAGAGACTTAAACAGTGAAACCTTGAAACTTGGTGAATTTAGTTAAAAACAAGATTCCATAGAGTCTTTTGTGATAGTAATTTAACCATTTATAGTAATTACTTATGAGGTTAAAATAGTATTTTTTTCTCTCTGTGGACTATTTCAGTTCAGACCAAATGCCTTGGAAATTAAAAAACAGGAAAACTTGCCTTTTCAGCCTCAGGATATAAAGCAATATAAAAGTTGAATTAGCTGTGTTTCTCAATATTTTAGATATCTGCTGTCTAATTTTTGAACTTTTTTTACTTTGTAACTAAACCAGTTTTTAAAAAATTGTATATTTTGTAAAATTTATGCTTGTGTGTGAATCTAGAAAACACATTCTTAAAGCAGTTCAAGTGTCCTTTTTACTTTTTGCATGTGTCGGGGCCTGGATTTCACCTCTCCACATCTAGTAGACAGTGAGCTGAGGCCCCATCGTGGTTCTGGGTCCTGAATCTTATCCATGGCCATGGCCATGGCCATGGTCAAGATCGCAGGTGATTTTCAACCAACCCAACAAGTCTTTTTTTTTAAGCCCAAAGAATTATAGACATACTAGACTGTAGATTTCTGAAGACATGGACTGTGACATACTCATTTTTATTTTTCTCCCTAGAACTTAGCACATTCCTTGCATACAGAAGGCAATGAATGAGTAGTTATTTTTGAATAAGTTAATCTATGATAAAATATATCTAACTCATTTTCTTTTTAAGTTCATTGATAAACACCAGAAAAATATAAATTAAAGCATGTTTAAAATTATGTGTTCTTATGGAAATAATTTCAGTTATATCTGAAATAAGAATAGGTAGCAGTTTAAGATTAAGATTACTTAGTATTTGAAAATTCAGACTTAGCTGAAATCGGTTTGGCTCAATGGATAGAGCGTCGGCTTGGGGACTGAAGGGTCCCGAGTTCGATTCCGGTCAAGGGCATGTACCTTGGTTGCGGGCATATCCCCAGTAGGGGGTGTGCAAGAAGCAGTTGATTGATAACTCTCTATCTCTCTCCCTTCCTCTCTGTACAAAATCAATAAAATATATTTAAAAGAAAAAAGAAAATTCAGACTTACTTAAACAATACATTATGAGGTGATTCCTCATTTTTGCCAGAGGATTCATTTAAAAAATATTCATAATTTAATAATTCAGATTTATTCAAGTAGTAAATGCTTAATGGAATCACCATTTTGCTTACTAAATTAAGATTCATTGAGGAATGAACTAGTTATGTAAATAAGTTACATGTATATGTCAAATATCAAGCTTTAAAATTGAACTTCTTAATAGAAAATGTTAAATATGTGTACATTTAATTTAGTGAGATTCACTCTTATATTAGGTATTTTTATTTTATAGGAAGGAGAACATAACAGTATATAACTTGTTGGTGCACTGTCTGGAGTCACATGGTAAGTTTGGAGATAAATTAGATCCAAGAACTTCTGAATTTAAAGTTTCATGTTTCAATATTTGGCATTACATAAGATGACTCATAAATAGACTGATAATTGTTAAAGTAACAAATGGTCACATAAAACAAATAATGGAAATTAAAATTGTCTTGACAATTTACAGAAAGTCAGCTCTGCAACTTGATTGGCGACAACCCTTTTTAGCCAAAAAGTAATGGTTACTGAATGTTACTGCCATAACTGATACTAGTATACATAGCTTACGTATTAATAACTTTCATTCTGGAGAAAGGATGAGAGGTAAGCATATTTTCTTAAAGATAAAAACAGAATTGTTAAAGTAACAAATGCTCACATAAAACAAATAATGGAAATTAAAAAGTGAATAAAGTAGAAATGAAGTGTTTTCTCATTTTGCTCATGATAACTACTATTGTTAGTTTAGTATACATAATTACAGTGTTTCTTTTATGCATAGACAAAAATAATTATTTCTAAAAAAATTGCAAAGCTATTACGTGTCTTAAAAATTTTCCCCTAACAATATATTCTAGGTATACAGTAGTTGCTCCTTATCTGACATTTCATTTTTTGTGGATTCAGTTACTTGTAATAAACCACAGTCTGAAAATATTAAACTGAAAATCCCAGAAATAATAAGTTTTAAATTTAGTGTCTTTTAGAGTAGCATGATGGAATCTCACTGTCCGTATCCATCTTGACCTGGAAGAATCATCTTTGTCCATTGCATCCATTCTGCATAATGCTACCTATCCATTAGTCACTTAGTCACTTACACAGCTGTCTCAGTTATCAGATAGACTGTGGAGATATCAGTGCTTGTGTTCACATAACCCTAATGAGCCTATTGCTCTCACAATGCCTAAGCCATTCACCGCATTTCATCTCCTCAGTAGGCATTGTGGTATCTCCTATCACAGGAAAAGGGGTGAATACAGAACAATATGAAATTTTGAGAGAGAAAGACCACATTCACATAACTTTTACTATAACATGTTGTTATTGTCCTATTTTGTTGTTAATACCTTACTGTGCTTAATTAATAAATTAGACATTATCATATGGATGTGTAGAAAAAAGACATCTATATAATAATCTATTGATATATAATAAAGAGGTAATATGCTAATTGATCCTCTTCCTCATCCTCCTCCAAAATTTGGATGTTAGTACATTTAAAGTTATCCCAGAGACTCCTTACACTATCTTCATATTTTTTGGATTCTTTTTTCTTTTGATTTTCTGGTTGGGTGTTGTTTCCTTATATATCAGATCTTTGGTTTGATTCTTGGGGTACGTTGATCTACAGTTCATTTCAGACAGTGTATGCTTTTCCATTTTTTTGGCATTCTCATTAAGGTACTTGAAGGTCTCTTAAGTTTCTCAGCGGTTTTGTTCATCAGGGATATTGGCCTTTAATTCTCTTTGTAATGTCTTTATCTGGTTTTGAGGAATTATGAAAATGCTGGACTCAGAAAAAGAGGTTGGAAGTTTTCCTTCTTCTTGGATTTATTGGGAATAGTGTGAGGAGGATAGGTGTTAGTTCTTCTTTGAATGTATGTTACAACTCCCCCGTGAAGCTATTTGGACAAGGAAGGGCTTTTGTTTGCTGAGAATTTTTATTATTATTATTGCTTCTATAGCCTCAGTTGTTATTGGCCTATTCAGGTTTTCTGCTTCTTGATTCAGTTTGGGAAGATTGCATTTATTTTAGAAATTTCCATTTCATCCACATTTTCCAGCTTGTCGGCATATAGTATTTATATAGTTGCTTATAGTATTTGCCTATAATTCTTTGTATTTCTGTGATGTCAGTTATTTCACCACTTCCATTTCGGATTTTAGTTCTTTGGGTCCTCTCTTTGTTTCTGGAGGAGACTGGCTAATGGTTGATCAATCTTGTTTATGCTTTCAAAAGAACCCACTTGTGGTTTCAGTATTTTTAAAACTGAGTTAAAAAGTTTTGATGATCATATTCTTAATCCTTGATTTTGTTTTCTGAATATTACTTTTTATAACATTCCTTCTTGTCTTATACGTTTAAATATGCTAATTATATTTTTTCTAATGTTTTTCTTGCTGTCTGCATTGCCTCTTTTTTTTAGGATTCTTTTATCTGTTTTGTTGATTTTGTTCTGAAAACAGGAGGTTTTCCTGAAATTAATGGTGCTTATTGATTATCCATCCATATAAGAGCAAGGCACTAAAATGCTTCCTGGGAATTCTGTTTGGTCAGAACATCTAGGATTGTTGTTATTTACTGTATGTTCTTTGGTCTGTATCTTTAGGTGAGAAATTTGCTCTGCATAGAATAAGCCTGAGTTTGTTACCTATTTTTGTTTAGCACCTCATTCCTGCTTTGCTCTATTTATGCCTGGCATTCCTAAGTTTGGTTCCGTTTTTGTAGTATATTTTCCACTTATTGCCCCATTTTTTCAAATTATAAGCAAAAGTTTATTCAGAAAGTCATAGAGTTAGAAGTGAACTGTAGAAGAAATGGTTTTAGGAAACAAGTTACAAAGGCAAAAGAAGGGCCAGTGGAGAGAGAAAGGTAAAGGTTACATGCTTTGTGGGGAAAGGAGTGAAGGATGGGAAAGGTGTATGCATGCTCTTGAAAGAGAGAACCCCACCTAATTGCCTCTTATTCTTAGTTTATCTCCTTTTTGTTAATATTTTTTGAGATAATGATTAAGTGAATAATTTTTGTAGATATATTCTAGCCATACGAAACTCACTTTGATTGTACCTAAGTTTTTGATGCAGTAGTCAGCCATTACCTATTTCTGTCTCTACCTATGTATCTATCTAGTTATCTAACATCTAGGAGAATGAGTTCTGAATTTCTCACTATTGCTACCATGTACTAACTACAAATATCAGTTTAGAAATTGCTACTAGGATTATTAAAGTAGAATTTAAATATACTATGTATAAAAATATGTTTTTCTTTTTGAAAATAAGGTTTGCTTTCCTTTTAAAAATTAGGTAAGTCAAAAATGGCAGAACTTTTTATGGAATGTGAAGAAGAAGAGTTGGAACCCTGGCAGAAGAAAGTAAAAGAGGTTGAGGATGATGATGATGATGAACCGATCTTTGTTGGAGAAATATCAAGTTCAAAACCAGCAATTTCAAGTAAGCATTTACTTTTAGTGAAGCCAAGATTTATAAAATACTGTTTCTAATTTTTAAAAATTTACAAACTGGCTTAGAGATACTTAAGTCCTTGCTTCTCTGTAAAGAGTTGGGAATGAAAGATTAGGTAAGTAAGAATTTTAGAAACAGGGTGGGGATGTTATTGGGTACTTGAGGGAGGAGGTGTAAGAGGTTAAAATAACAGATCTGAGAAAAAGAAATGGACTAAGATTAGCTGGTGATATTGGAGGTCTTTTGTTATTAGAAATCATAATTTTTGTGGAGTTAAATTTTCTATTTATTCTTTTTTCCTCTTAAACTCAGAAGTAGAGGGGAAAAAGGGTTTAGAATATTTTGTTTAAAATGTCAGAATGTACTAAATAAGCTTGTTATTCTTAGATAGGGATTCTCAATTCCAGGCAACTGCCTTATTACAATGTCATTCATTCTTAGATACAAAATGTATAGGCAGTGAATGATTACAGTCTCTGGCCTGTGTATTAATAGGTGCTTCTGATCACATCTGTTTTCCAGCAACTTGCATTTATATTCATGAAAGAGAAGTGCGCTGTCTACAGCTACTATATTTGGGTGACATAGCAGTTAAAACTTAAATCTTTATGTTTTTTTAACAGAATATCTTAATACCTTTGTAGATTCTAAATTTCAGTAAGAGTAATTGAATTTGACCTTGTTATAATGTTAAAGCAAAGAGCAATAACACCTTTAAATATATTCGTTCAAAAATAAATAGAAATGTAGAGAAGTAATGTATGAATTTTAGATTTTCTTACCAAGACATTGCTTAAAAGTGTGATTGAGAGGCTACTTTAGTCCTGCCCTGTAGCTCAGTGGATTGAGTGATGTCCCATGCATTGAGTGGTCACCGGTTCGATTCCTGGTAAGGGTACAAGTCTGGATTGTGGGATCGCCAGTAGTGGTGTGCAGGAGGCAGCCCATCCATATTTCTATCCCTATCCCTCCTCCCTTTTTCTGTCTCTAAAATCAATAAAAATACAGGTCTTTTTAAAAAAGAATCTCTTGCTCTTTGTACTTTCTTTAAAAAAGAGGTTACTTTGAAATATTTGGAAAGCTTGATAACTTTCTTCTGTTGCCTCTAAATTTGTAAGGGCACTTTTATTCAGTTTTATCAGAGGGATAATAACTTAACAATGTAATTCTCAATACCATTTCCTCTGGCAAATTAATAATCTCTCATGGAGGTTCTAATTGGAGTGCCACTTTGATTATAAATTAAATGATTTACTTGTTGATGATAGAAAAACATCCTAATATATAAAAACCCTCAGTTGTAACCACCAGTAAAGACCAAGGCTCGACCAATCGGACCTGAGGGGGCTGCGAATCGAGGCCAGAGAGCGGCCTGAGGAGAGAAGCAGGGACTGATCCATTGCCTCTAGGGCAGCTTTTGATCAGTACTTGCCTCTCTTTTTCTCTCTCAGTCTAGCTAGCAGCCATGCCTCCATTTCTCTCCAGGCCTCCACCTGGGCTGCTGATGAGTCCCGCCTTTCTCATCAGGCCCCATTGATAGGCCCAGAGATGCTGACTGACATAAGAACTGGCCAGTCAGAACCAAATGTGGGTGCTGTGAAAAACCAATGGCTGCCTAGGAGGCAGAATTTCTGATGCTTACTGGCATAGACACTGACCAATCAGAACAAAATGTGGGTGCTGTTGAAAGCCTTTTGCTGCCTAGGAAGCAGAGCTTCTGATGCTGACTAGCATATAAACCGATCAGTCAGAACCCAGTTTGGGTGCTGTGGGGTGCCAGTGGCTGCCTAGGAGACAGAGGTTTTGATGCTGACTGGCATAGAAACCAACCAATCAGAACCAAATTAGTCAGCAGAGGAGGGCAGTTGGGGGCAATCAGGCTAGCAGGGAGGGCAATTAGGGGAGATTAGGCAGGCAGGCAGAGGCAGTTGGAGGCAACCAGGTAGCAGGGGAAGGCAGTTAGGGGTGATCAGGCAGGCAGGAAGTGAACAGTTAGGAGCCAGTGGTCCCAGATTGCGAGAGGGATGTCTGATTGCTTGTTTAGGCCCAATCCCACAGGCAGTCCAACATCCCCCAAGGGGTCCCCAATTGGAGAGGGTGCAGGCTGGGCTGAGGGAATCTCCATCCTTGCACAAATTTCATGCACTGGGCCTCTAGTAATTATATTTTCTCTTTAATTTTTGTTTCTAGTAATTGTGATATTTTTTACCAGTATATTACCATATTGTAAAATTGTTATTGAACTTCTCTTATTGAAAACATGATAGTTAAGATTCAAGTTGATTTCATACTGATTGTACATGATTTAACAGTGTTCAACTAGAATTCTATATAATAAAAGCCTCATGCTAAGTATCTGACAATTCGTTCAGCCAATCAAAGCATAATATGCTAATGATATACTAGTCGCTTACTGCTCATTATGACGTGCACTGACCACCAGGGGACAGATGCACCAACTGGTAGGTTAGCTTGCTGCTGGGGTCTGGCCAATCGAGACTGAGCAAGATGGGCTAAACATGCCCTAGAGCCATCCGGTGGTCTCTTCCTGGCTGGCCAACTTCCCACATCCCTCCACAATCCCTATAGGTCTCTCCCTAGCCCCAGGCATGCATTGGTGGGGTTCCTTGGCTTGATCTCCATTCTCTCGCAATCCAGGACTCCTCTGGGGATGTTGGAGAGCCAGTTTCAGCCTGTTCTCTAAAGTCAGGCTGAGGGACCCTGCTGGTGCACAGTTTTGTGCACAGGGCTCTAGTAATGTATATTAGTTTTAAAATGATTACGTCAAAAAATAGAATTTCTTTTCTGAACTGTTAAAATATAGAATTTAAATGATTGTATTGGTTATGTGTAGGCCATAAAACGTTAATTTATAATAGTTCTTTGTTGTTTTGGGTACTTAATCATGAATTTCAAAATGAAAATGGTGTTAACTTATTGGAGCAGAGTTGTTTCTTCAATAAGACATATGTAGGGCTTAGTTATAGAACACTACATTGTCATTATCAGATAATAGGCCTACTTCTGTGTGGCCCCTTTATAGGATTATTTTATGAGATCTGGTTATTTTTTACTGTGACGGAAGAAAAGGACATTTTAATGATGTTTTTACCTTTTTCTAACCAACATTTTAGGCAAAACCCACACTTCCAAATTTTAGTTTGATTATTGAGTAACTTAAGAGTTACAGAGTTTATATGCATGTAAGAATAAGGAACTTATACTGATCCTGAAAATCATATTAGGCTCACATTGATTTCTGTTTTAGTAGATTTGAAACTCCTTAAGTTATAAGATACTCTGGTAAACTATAGATTCATTTTAGTCTGTAGCCTCTATAGTTTCCCTTTCAGAAATCAAGAATAATAGTAAGATAATCCAAAGAGATCCCTCATAAGGTCACGTAAAGGCTTTTAGGGATGTGAGTGGCATATGAAGCTTGGGCAAGGTTTTGATTTTGAGTAATAGAAACCTGAGTGTATATAGAGCCCTATCATCAAAGTAAGACATATACTTCCATTATAAGTTGTATTTGAATGTACTTTTGGAAAAGTTTTACTAATAATGTGGAATGTTTCTTTGCCATGTAAAAGGTTTGACTTATATTTAGTCAGATTTAACAATTTTTTATTTTTGGCCTTTGAATTTTGAGTTATAGTTAAAAAGGTTGCTCTAATACTATGCAACAATTAAAGCTTGTAATCTTGTTCCTTTAGTAAAAAAAAAAAATATATATATATATATATATATATATATATATATGTTTAACTGTATTTTAAAATTAGTGATAACTAATAAGCTTCTTCCAGGAATCTAATTGTTTTCAGTTTTATATTATCTTAATATGTATTTTATATATGTGTTTTATATTATCTTAATATATATGTTTTAAATTGTTTTATATTATGTTTTATATTTATAATGTTTTATATTATAATTTATAATGTTTATATTATAATGTTTTATATTATGTTTTATATTTATAATGTTTTATATTATCTTAATATATATTTCATCAAACAAATGAATTTTAAAATAAATATAATTTTTTTTAGATATTTTGAATAGAGTAAACCCTAGCTCATACTCAAGAGGAATAAAGAATGGCGCACTCAGTCGAGGTATAGTATTATTTTTTTTAATTTTAAAGTGAAGTATTTTAATATTGATTATAAAGAAATATATTCAATATATTTTGTAATTTTGAAATACAGGTATTACTGCTGCATTCAAGCCTACAAGTCAACACTGCACGAACCCAATATCAAATCCAGTGGCTGCCTCACCAGTAAATTTTCATCCTGAATCTAGATCTTCAGATAATTCTGTTATTGTTCAGCGTTTGTCTAAACATGTAAGTGTTTCTGAAACTACACAGTCAGCTCAGGCATATCATGGATATTATTTATTAACTAGAGGCCGGGTACACAAAATTCATGCATTATGGGAGGGGAGTATCCCTCGGCCCTTTCCAATCTGAGACCCCTCGGGCAGTCAGACTTCCCTCTCATAATCTGGGATTGCTGGCCCCTAACTGCTCCCTTGTCTGCCTGATGACCCCAACTGCTCTCCCCTGCAGGCCTGATTGCTCCCAACTAACCTCCCTTGCAAGCCTGGTCCCTACTAGCTGCCTTCCCCTCTGGACCCGCTGTGTCTATAATGGAAGAACTGCTGCGCTGGAGACATGCTTATGGTGCAGGCCTTGTTTTAGTGTGGCTTTGCTGCTCACTGAGACTGTCTCCTGAATGTGTCATGGATGTGAAGAGTTGAAATCTGGTGTCTTACACTGACCACTAGGTACACTAGCTTCTGGATCTCGAATGAGATGTAGTTCAGCTACTGTCCTAGGCTACCCTGTAGAAGCTACAGCGAGAACCACAGTCCTCTCCTTCCTGCTTGAAGCTTGGAAGCTTTGGAGCTTTCTGCACCAGGATGCAAGTTTGTTAGGTTAAACTGCAATAAAGAAGGCCATTCATATGCAAAAGCCGCTGCTTGGAGCTTGGGTGTGTTCATAGATTGCGGGGGCGGAGTCTCAGGCATGACTAGGCTAGGGCCTGGCATACAGTGATGGCTGCCAGTCTGCCATCTCTGCCTCTCCATGACCGCGTCCCCACATCTCCCGCATGTGCCACAACACAGCAAACAATTACTCTTGCACTCAGCTCTGCAAACAAGCCGCCCTTACTTTCTGAGCCAATGGCAGACAGTCTAGCTTCTCCCCAGAAACTGGATTTCAGAGAGATTGGGTGATTGTCTCTCTTCGGGTTAAAGAAAGCAATGCCCTCCGCCAGCTGGGATCCACGCCCACGCCTATACCTCAGTTTTTCAGCGTTTGTGCCCTGAATGCTCCTTTCTCTTTTAGTCTAGCTATAGAGCTTTCTTTCAGCCAGCTTTCTCATGGTTCTGGATGATAGATGTTTTGTCTTTTAGTTGTAGTTTTGAAATTGTTGTGCACGGCAGCAGTTTAGGCGTGTTTACCTAAGCCATCATCTTGGATCCTCCTGCAATATTCTTTTGGTTAGATGCAAGTAACATGTCTTGCTTGCACTCAAAGAGAATCATAGGACATGAATACCAGAGTGGGGGGTCTTTATTTCTAAAATGAGAGATTTTTCCCAGACCACTGACTCTCAATTTTGGCTTCTTAAGTCCTGTAGGCTATAATTGAATGCCACGAAAGATGGAAAGTTACCCAAAATATAAAGATTATTTGCTATTAGTTGGAATCACATTAAGTCAGTGGTTTTCTAATGCTTATTGTAAGGTATTTGGCATTTGGAGAATAGAAAACAAAAAAAAAAGAAATTTAGTTATTTAATTCAGTTTGCTAGAAAAATCTTTCCAGCATTGGACACAGACAGAAAAACAAAACAAAATGTGGGTGGTACCTTTGGTGTTATAAAAGTTAGAAACTAAAACTTTCTAAATTATGGTGTTTTATTTATTTGGGCATAGGTTTTAAATCAAAGCACCTCAATTGATGTTTCCTAATCTTGGAGAGTAGTTAAACAAGAGATTTTACCAATTGGTCTGGGTGGGTCCCCAAATGATGCATTTTAAACAACTCTCCCAAGTGATTCTAATGTACAGTTAAAGTTAAGAATGACAGATGTATTCTGGAATGAATTGAGAATACATTTTAAGGGCATTTACTCTGAATTTTGGAAACAACTATTGTTAATAAATTATACCTTTTCGTTTTATTTTCTGTTTTTGCACATTTACTTTTTTATGGAATATCCCTATACTTTAGCATCTTCTTTAGATAGCAGGGATCTATTATCACCCATAAAGTCAGTGTGATATAGCCTAAGGGCATAGGCTTTGCAATAAGAAGTTGGGGCTATATCAGGAACCTTACATAACTGTAGCCAGTCTATACACTTATAGAATGATGTATAATATTGGGTCTTCATTAGTCAAGTATTTGATTTAATTCATACATTCACTGTGAATTGCAAGTATATTTGAAACATGCATGTACTGTGTAGTGCAAATACATTTAAATTTGAAAGGTGACTAACCTGAAGCTCAGATGTGACTTGCCCAGGATTTTATAAATAAACTAGAGGCCAGGTGCACAAAATTTGTTTACAGGGGTGGGGAGGTGTCCCTCAGGCTAGCCTGCAATCTTTCCAGTCTGGGAGCTCTTGAGGGATGTCTGACAATCCAGGACTGCTGGCTCCTAACTGCTTGCCTGCCTGCCTTCCTACTTGACCGTAACTGCTTCTGCCTGCCAGCCTGATCATGCCCTAACCACTCCCATGCCAGCCTAATTGGTGCCTAACTGTTCCCCTGCCAACTTCCCTCCTCTGCTGGCCTGGTCACCCATAATTGCCCTCCCCTGCAAGGTTGATTGCCTCCAACTGCCCTTCCTTGCAGGCCTGGTCCCTCTCAACTGCCCTCCCTTGCAGGCCTGGTGTCTCCCAACTGCCCTCCCTTGCTGGCCATCTTGTGGTGGCCATCTTGTGTCCACATGGGGGCAGGATCTTTGACCACATAGGGGCAGCTATCTTGATCTTGTGTGTTGGAGTGAAGGTCAGTCTGCATATTACTCTTTTATCAGATAGGATAGAGACCTGATGCACCGGTGGGGACCAGCTGGTTTGGCCTGAAGGGTGTTCTGGATTAGTGTGGGGTTCCATTGGGGCATGGGGCGGCCTGGGCGGAGGGGCTTGTGGTAGTTTGCAGGCCAACCACATCCCCTGGCACCCCAAGCGGAGGCCCTGGTATCTGGAATTTATTTATCTTCTACAATTGAAACTTTGTAGTCTGGAGCAGAGTCAAGCCTCCTGCTTGATCTGTGGCTGCTGCCATTTCTAAAATTAAAACCTGTATACTAGAGTGGAGTCTTGGGCCCGCCAGAGTGTGTGGAAAGCTTGGCTTCCTCTGTTGGGGGGAAACCCAAGCCTCTCTCCTGGTAGCCATGTTGTTTGAGTTTATTTGCATACTCGCTCTGATTGGCTAGTGGGTGTAGCTTATGGGCGTGGCTTGTGGGTATAGCAGTGTGATGGTTAATTTACATATTACTCTTTTTTTATTATTATTAAATTGCTATCTGTGTACATATACCATTGCCTCCCCCTCCCATACATTCCCTCCCTCCCCAGAGTTTTATGTCTCTTGGTTGTACTTATATGCAAGTATACAGGTACTTCGGTTGACCTCTTATCTACCCCAGATCTCCCTACCCTCCCTGCTGTAATTTGACAGTCTGCTTGTTGCTTTACTGTCTCTGTATCTTTTGGTTCAGCAATTTATAATGTTCTTTATTATCCATTAATGAGTGAGGTCATGTGGTGTTTCTCTTTCATTGACTGACTTATTTCACTCAGCATGATGTTCTCCAATTCCATCCAGGTTGCTGCAAATGATGAGAATTTCTTCTTTTTTATGAGAGCATAATATTCCATTGTGTAGATATACCATAGTTTTTGGGTCCAATCATCTGCTGATGGGCACCTCGGCTGTTTCCAAATCTAGCTATTTTAAATTGTGCTGCTATGAACATAGGGGTGCATATATCCTTTCTGATTGGTGTTTCTAGTTTCTTGGGGTATATCCTAGGAGTGGGATTACTGGGTCAAATGGGGGTTCCATCTTCAGTTTTTTGAGGAAGCTCCATACTGTTCTCCATAGTGGTTGCACCAGTCTACATTCCTACCAGTAGTGAACGAGGGTTTCTTTTTCTCCACAACCTCGCCAACACTTGTCGGTTGTTGATTTGTTGATGTTGGCCATTCTGACAGGTGTGAGATGGTACTGCATTGTTGTTTTGATTTGCATCTCTCGGACAATTAGTGACTTTGAGCATGTTTTCATGTGCCTTTTGGCCTTCCTTCTGTCTTCTTTTGAAAATATTCTATTTAGGTCCATTGCCCATTTTTTAATTGGATCATTCATATTTTATTTAGTTGTATATGCTGTCTGTAAATGTTGGAGATTAAACCTTTATCAGTGGTATTATTTGCAAATATGTTCTCCCACACCGTGGGCTTTCTTGTTGTTTTGTTGATGGTTTCTTTTGCTGTAAAAAAGCTTTTTTTTTTTTTTAAATGTATTTTTTTACAGAGAGGAAGGGAGAGAGAGAAAGAGCTAGAAATGTCAATGAAAAAGAAACATTGACCAGTTGCCTCTTGCACACCCCCTACTGGGGATGTGCCCGCAACCAATGTACATGCCCTTGACGGGAATCGAACCCGGGACCTTTCAGTCCACAGACCAACGCTCTACCACTGAGCCAAACCGGCTTTGGCTTGCTGTAAAAAAGCTTTTTATTTTGATGTAGTCCCATTTGTTTATTTTCTCTTTAGCTTCCATTGCCCTAGGGGCAGTATCAGTGAAGAAGTTCTTTTGGCATACGTCGGAGATTTTGCTGCCTGTGGATGCTTCTAGTATTTTTATGGTTTCCCGTTTGATGTTTAAGTCCTGTATCCATTTTGAGTTTATTTTTGTGAATGGTGTAAGTTGGTGATCTAGTTTCATTCTTTTGCATGTGTCTGTCCAATTTTTCCAACACCATTTATTGAAGAGACTGTCTTGACTCCATTGTATATTCGTGCCTCCTTTGTCAAATATTAATTGAGCATAGTGATTTGGGTTGATATCTGGGTTCCCAATTCTATTTCATTGATCTATATGTCTGTTCTTGCGCCAGTACCAGGCTGTTTTGAGAACAGTGGCTTTGTAATATAGTTTGAGGTCTGGTATTGAGATCCCTTCTATTTTACTCTTCTTTCTCAGGATTGCTGTGGCTATTCGGGATCTTTTATTGTTCCAAATGAACTTTTGGAGAGTTCTTTCTAGGTCAGTGAAATATGTCGTTGGTATTTTCATGGGGAGTGCATTGAACCTATAGATTGCTTTAGGAAGTATGGACATTTTGATGATGTTGATTCTACCAATCCATGAACATGGTATGTTCTTCCATCTCCTTACATCTTCCTCTATCTCTTTTTTCAGTGTCGTGTAGTTTTCCGCATGTAGGTCCTTTACTTCCTTAGTTAAATTTATTCCTAGGTACCTTAATCTTTTTGGTGCGATGGTAAATGGAATTGCTTTTTTAGTCTCTGTTTCTGTAGTTTCACTGTTGGTGTGTAGAAATGCCATGGATTTCTTGGCATTAATTTTGTATCCTGCTACATTGCCAAATTCATTTATTAAGTCAATTAGTTTTTTAATGGAGTCTTTTGGTTTTTTTTATGTACAATATCATGTTTCTATTTTTTGAAGGGCAAATATTTCAAGAAAATATTTTGAATTGAGATTGTGGTTGGTTACAATTAAGTGATATGACTAGCATTATTGATTTTTAAAAAATATTATATGGTAAAGCTCAAATGCAGCTATCTTCCTGTTCGGCCTTTAAATACTAAAGGTGGTTTGGGTTACTTCCATACCTGTTTCCATAACTTTTTCTAAAACAATAGCCTTCATTTATTTAGTCACAGATCTGTAATGTGTACAGGCTGTGATAAGAAAAACCCATTTCTTTCTCTTAATTACTTTTGGTGTATAATTAACAATATGTGAGTTTTCGGTGTACAACATAAATATTTGATTACTTGTATATAGTATATTGCAAAATGATATCTGTAGTAAGTCTAGTTAACTATCACCATATGTATGGAGTTTTTTTAAATAAGAAATTTTAATATCTTAGCAACTTTCAAATATTCAGTATGTCATTATTATTGTTATTTTGTTAATCTTCACCTGAGGATAATTTTTCTATTGATTTCCAGAGAGTAGAAATGAAGAAGGAGGCCGGGAGAGAAACGTGGATGTGAGAGAGACACATCAGTTGGTTGCCTCTGGGAGGTGCCCCATCTAGGGCCAGGGAACAAACCTGCAACCAAGAAAGGTCCCCTTGGGTGTCAGTCAAACCCGAGACCCTTAGGTGAGCAGACAGACGCTCTACCACTGAGCCACACTGACCAGGGCTATTTTTAACTGTGGTTACAATGCTGTAAATTAAATTGCTGTGACTTATGGGTGGGATTTTTTACCTTTGATTGCCTTCTGTTTTGTTTTCATAATTAACAAATCCATGTCAATAGAAAAGTCGGTAGCAAAACAAAATTTTAAAAATATATTTATTCCTCTATTTATTAGCACAAAACAAACAAAACTTTTACATTTTTACTTTAATGTTTATTTTTTTGGGGAAAGTTTAGAAAGAGACAGATATATTTTGAATATTTTTCTTCATATAGTATAGATCCGTGTTCAGCAAACTGCGACTCGAGAGCCACATGCGGCTCTTTGGCCCCTTGAATGTGGCTCTTCCACAAAATACCATGGCTGGGCGAGTCTATTTTGAAGAAGTGGCATTAGAAGAAGTTTAAGTTTAAAAAATTTGCCTCTCAAAAGAAATTTCAATCATTGTACTGTTATATTTGGCTCTGTTGACTAATGAGTTTGCTGACCACTGGTCTAGGCCAAAAGGTACAGAGAAAAACCTTTCAGGCTACCTTCTAAAATAAGTGCTAAGGACTTATTACAGATGAGGACTTTTTTTTTTTTAACTTTTCCTTGCATTTACCCAAAGATTTTGCTAAGTTTTGTTACTTGCTTTTTGATGGGAATACTGAATTTTTAGGAGCTTTATAAAGTACAGTAATCTCACTGACTTAAAATGGATTTATATTTTTTTTTACCTTGAAAAAATTATGCTAGATGTCCTGACTGGTTTGGCTCAGTGGATAGAGCGTCAGTTTGTACTGAAAGGATCTTCTTCCCACATGGGTTCGATTCTGGTCGAGGGCATGTGCCTTGGTTGTAGGCTTTATTCCCAGTAGGGGGGTGTGCAGGAGGCAGCTGATTGATGTTTCTCTGTCATTGATGTTTCTAGCTCTCTATCCCTCTCCCTTCCTATCTATAAGAAGTCAATAAAAACATATTTAAGAAAAAAAACAACTTATGCTAGAACTTGCCCCCCTTGTTTTAATTAACTAGTTAGGAATAAGCCAACTCTCAGTTTGCTTTCAATTTTAGAAGATGGTAATTTTGGTAGATGGTAGTAATACCTTTGTGTTTTATAAGTTATTAGTAATTGAGTTATCAAAGATGATTATTATAATAGTGCATGCAGTTAAATTTACTTTTATAAAAGTATGAAACAACAATTATAACTGTGTTGAATAAATGTAATACTCCTCTTTTGAAATATTTCAACAGGGTTACGTAACAAACTCATCAAGAGTTGCATCTAATAATTCTACAGAGTTGCTGTTTGACTTGACCCAGGATACAGGATTATCACATTACCAAGGGGGACCGACACTTGCTATAACAGGTTGGTTTTAGTACTTTTTCAACAAATTATAAAAAGAAACTTGGTGAATATGCTTATGAAATTGATTTTCTGTTTGAAGTCTTTTTCTTCATGTTCAGTTTTTTATAAAGTAAGGTAGAATAGTGCTAATCTTGAATGCTTTTCTTGGGTCATTTTAAATCTTATTTAATGATAGCATATTTTACTACCTCCTTTTAATTAAGTAGGCTAATTGACTTTGAGATTGTTGTTCACTTGCATTAAACATGCACTGAAAATAATTTCCTTAAGTTAGAGAAGTCCTTTGATAACCTGAATACTCTGTTAAAGGAAGTACTAATTACCTTCTTTGATGACGAGTGTAAAAAAGTATATGATTATAGTTAATGTTTTAATGTTTTAATTAGCTTAGTGTCTTTCTACTAATTTAATGATTGACATGATAAATATGATTATAGAGTGCTATTATAAAATAGTTATAATAAATTTATAGTTAGTATTCGTTAATTAGCCTTTGAAGGAGTAATGAAATGTCCCTATTGAAGAAGAGTTAGAGTTCTTCGATGATATATTAACTAGGGACCTGGTGCATGAAATACCTGCACTGGGTGAGAGGTATCCCTCAATCCAGCCTGCCTCCTCTCACAGACTCGGAGCCCTCAGGGGCTTTTCTAAGCTGAAGTCTAGCCTCTCTCTTTGGGAGGTGAGCAGGCTGAACAGGGGAAGGCACCAGCCCCATCACCCTGCTTCCACAGCCACTGCCAGCCACCACAACTGCCAAGGTGTTTTCATCAACACAGACTCCAGTCCCTTCACCATGAAAAAATGACAACTTACTTTATGCATTTTCAAGATGTGTCTTTCATAGGATATGACATTTCTTTTTTTCTTTTTTAAATCCTCAACTGAGGTTATGTTTCACTTGATTTTTAGAGAGTATTGAAGAGAGAGAGGGAGAGACAGAGAGAAACATCAGTGTGAGAGGGACACTTTTGGTTGGTTGCCTCCTACATGAGCCCTCACATGGGCTCTGGCCAGGGAGGAGCCTGCAACCTAGGTACATGCCCTTGATCAGAATCGAACCTGGACCCTGCTGTTGGTAGGCGGAGGCTCTATCCACCGAACCAAACTGGCTAGGGCAGGATATGATATTTCTTAGCCCCTCCAACAGCAGACCTTCATTTTTTTTCTCCAGGAGTGTGGAAAGATTGTAGATCACCTTCTTGGATTCTTACTACCCAAGTTCCCAAGAATACCACAAGTTGCTGTGTACAGGGAGCTTAGCCAATGAGCGGTCAGAAAAGGTGTTTACTCTCAAAACTGTTTTGGCTCACTGGATAAAGTGTTGGCCTGCAGACTGAATGGTCCCAGTTTGATTCCTATTAAGGGCATGTACCTTGGTTGGGGGCACATCCCTAGTGGGAGTGTGCAGGAGGTAGTTGATCGATGTTTCTCTCTAATCGATGCTTCTGACAGTCAATCCCTCTCCCCTCTTCTCTGTAAGAAATCAATAAAATATATATTTTTTTAAAAGAAAAGCTGTTTCCTCTAGCCCATGCTCAGAGGATCCCCTGCATTGTGTCCACTGGGCTAGGGGTGTACCCCTGCTGCCAGGGGGGAGGCCCTGCATTCACTGTATTTTCTGGACTAGGGTATGTGGACCTGGGTCGCTTATTGCTTGCGCTTGGTGCTCCCTACCGCTTGTCCTGGGACCCAGCCCAGTTGACGGACCTGGCCACTCGTCCCAAGACCTGGGCTGATTGGCGCTAGCTCCTGTAAGCCACTGGTGGCCAAGGACGTTCTGGGACCTCAGCCACTCAGGGCCTACGCGCGGGCCTATAGACTCGGAGATGCCTGGGTCCTGAGGATATTCTGGGGATCCAGGCTGCTCCGTGCCCATGTATGCAAATTAACCTTTACTTTGCATAGTCACTCCTGATTGGTTGATGGGCATCGTGGAGATAAGATCAATTTTCATTTTTCTCTTTTATTAGTGTAGATAACATAAATCTTCATTAACCTATAATAAAATAGTTTGCTATGAAAGATTTTTATATAATTGAAAATTGCCTGTATTTAAAGCAGTTATGCTTTGTATATTAGCAATTTTGAAATATTTCAGATATTTGACCAAATAGAAATACACAAGATTTTTGGGACTTTTTAAGTTATTTTCTAACAAATCAATGTAGAAAATTTACCGAACCTCTCCCAATGTTTTAATAGTAATATTAGTGCCTAAAATGCTTTTCTATTTAGATAACACTTATTTGATACTCACTTCTTTGGGTGTCACATACTTGTGATACTTGTAGAAATCTAATTTTTAAAATAGATAGGAACCAGCTTTGGCCCAAAACAGTTAGAGCTTTGTCCCAATATGCTAAGATTGCAGATTGGATCCCTTGAAAGGGCACATATAAGAATCAACCGATGTATCTATATAAATAAATGGAACAACAAACCTCTCCCTCTCTCTCTCCTTCGTCATGTCCCTCTCTGTCCCCCATCTTGTCCCTCCCTCCCCTTATCTCCCTTCCCCTTCCTCTCTGAAGTCAATCCATAAAAATAAAAAATAGATAGGAACCAAAAGGAACATGGAAAAATAATAGTTGTCTTAAGTCAGGTTTTATAAAACACATGGGCTTTATTCATAGGAAAGGTCTGAATTCTTGAAACTTCCTGCAGTAATGACAGTAGCACTTACTCTTTAAGTTTCCTACTACACAAAGATTTCAGCCTGAGCACTAAGTAGAATGATTTAGAAATGTTAGTCTTGAGATTTTTGTAGTCTTTATCAAGTCTTTACACTTTAGTTTTCTCATATTAAAATGGAACTCTTGTTTTTCTTATTTAGTGCATTCTCTAGATGCAGAATCAGCCATTTGGAGATAAATTTTTAATTCTTTCTCTATTTTAGTCGGGGCTTTTTGAAGTACAAAATAAGTTAAAATGTGAAAATGCATTATGAGCTTTAAAGGACTTGACAACAGATAGTTGCTGTGAATGACAATATGTGCTGTGTGACCACTGTTAGGTAGTCACGAATGCTGGAGATTAGATTTGAACTTGATCTTGAATGAGAATAGAATTTTTTGCTGGCAGAGAAAGGGCTGTTGTAAACCAAAAACAACAGAGATAAATAAGTTAAATGGTCAGAATTTAAAACTCTTAAATGCAGAGGGATTTTATTTCTTATATTAAAAACATTTTTGAAATAAAATAGTTTTATTTCTATTGTTCAGCCTGTTGCATAATCAGGTGCTTAATCCAAAATACCAGTATTCATTGGCTTTTCAAGTAACTTGAGCATCTTATGAGAATGCTACTGTGATTAAAAAATATTTCCCAGGTCCCCATAGTATAGCCATTAGTAATTAGGTGCTTTGAAGATGGAAAGAAAATCATTTTTATGTTATCTTGAAGGATGAAACAGAGGTGCCAATTAATATAATGGCTTATTTTTCTAACATGTTTCCCCTTATTAAAAAGCAGATAGATGAATCTATTAGAATAATTTTTTCTTCTAAAGATCTGAAATATTTTTTAGTAATGATATCTATTATTTCTGAATGGCTTCTGTGTGACAGCTATTGTGTTGAGTACTTTAAATGCTCTATCTTATTTTATCTTAAAACAGCTTGCTCTGTAAAATAAGGTAAAATAACAAAAGAGGAAATTGAGGCTTAGAGAAGTTAATTAAATAAGACAAGAATACATATAGCTAGTCAGTGACAGCATGGAATATTTATTCTTTTATTTCCAATTGTAAATCATTATTTTTCTATTATAATTGACATATATTAGTTTCAGGTGTTCACCCCAGTGATTAGACATTACATAACTTACTAAGTGATCATCCCAATAAATCTTGCACCGATCTAACACCATACATACTTCTTAGAATATTGGATATATGCTATGCTTTATGTCTTTATGTCTATTCTGTAATAACTAATTTGTATTTTTTAATCCTTTCACCTTTTTCACTCTCATCCACAACCCCATGACACTGTCAATCGTCAAAATGTTCTCTGTATCTGTTCTGCTTGTTCGTTTATCTTGTTTGTTTTAGAGTCAATTATTGATAAATTAGTACTTATTGCCATTTTATTGTTCATATATTTTATATTTTTTTTCTTTTTCTTCCTAAACAAGACCCAAACGTTTCATAGAGTACTAGTTTAATGGTGATAAACTCTTAGCTTTTTCTTGCCTGGGAAGTTCTTTATTTGTCATTTTATTCTAAAAGAGGGGCTCAGCGCACTTTGAAAGGAACTGTAGGCTGCAAGGCTGTGGTGGGCAGAGGAGTGGGTGTTGGCCCATCCTCTGCACCCCCACCTGGCCCCTCCTGCCGCAGTCCCCAGTCTCCTCTATGCTGGCAGCTCTGCTTCCATTGCCGCTGCTCCCTGTGCTGACAGCTCTAGCCCCGCTCCCACCCACTGACAGTGCGGAGCGATTGGGTGCAAATGGAGCTGGCGGCTGCTCTGGTCCTAGCAGTGGGTGTGAGAGGTGGCTGCTGCCCCAATCACCCTCAGAAACAGGGTTAGGTGGTGAAGCCCTGAGAGGCAATTGGGGCCAGCAGCAGCCACTCACACCCACTGAAGGCACCGAGCGATTAGGGCTGGCCCTGGATGCAGGTGTGAGCATCCGCTCTGGGAGTGGGTACAACTGGGGCTGCTGTTGGCAGCAAGTGCGAGCACCAAGTGGAACCACGGCATGTGGGAGTAAAGAATTTTCAGTAACCGCCAGAGGCTTGCCCCAATAATAGTGACTGGTGCCCTGCCTTGGTCTGGCTCCCCTGCTCACCTGCTCCACCATCCTTCTGTGGCCAACGCCTGCCATGTTCCATGTTCTGCTGCCTGCTGCCAACACCTGCTATGTTCTGTGCATGTCCCCTGGTGGTCATCGCTCATCATAGCAACTGGTTGTTTGGATGCTCCACCATTCACCCTATTTTCATATTAGCCTTTTATTATATAGAACTAGAGGCCTGGTGCATGAAAAGTTATGCACTGGAGCGGGAGGGGGGTTCCCTCAGCCTGGCCTGCACCCTTTCACAGTCCAGGAGCCCTCAGGTGGGGGAATCCCACTCAGCCTCAGGTCCCTTACCAAGTCCCGCCGAGCAGGGTGTGTAGCTTCAGGTCCCCTGTCATGGCCCGCCAGGTCGGGGGCGGGGGCGGCCTCGGGTCTCCCAGTGCTGGGGGGAGAGGGTCATGGCCTCAGGTCTCCTGGTGTGAAGGTGTGACCATTTGCATATTAGCTCTTTATTATATAGGATGATAGTTTTGCTTTTCCTTACTTTGAATATTTCTTGACAATCCCTTCTGGCCTGCAAACTTTCTATTGATAAATTATCTAACACAGTCTTATGGGAACAATGCTGGGATATTTCTGATATATTTACTTTATTCATTCTACTTTTAGTGTATAGTTGGGAGCATTAAAATATGATGTGCAGTTTTGAATTTTTATTACCGAGAACATTTGTATGTTATGTTGAGAACTTTTACGTGGCCTAAATTTTCTCATTTTCTTGATAATGCTCAGAATAAGACTAATAGCTCTTAGATTTAAGGTGATAGTTTTTAAACTAAAATTCTTTTTAGAAATGAAATCTTTGTACAAACATAATTTTATATAACAGTCTTAGTTAAAAAAAAAAAAGAAAAAGATCAGTTTCTCAGTCAGACATGTCCAATTGTCCTGAAGAGGAGCCCATGAAGCTCTGGGAATATAACTTCAAAACTTAACTCCTTTCATTATGAGTCCTTTTGTATGAATGAGTGAATTGTCACTCAAGAGAAGTTGATTTCACTTTGGAATAAATGGATAACTTGAAACCATGAATAGAATACTTCTTTGTTAGATGGGAAAAGAACTTTTCCTTAAACATTTTAAGTTGTTAAAAGTTTGTAAAGAGTCTCTAAATGTTTAGAATAAAAGAAAAAAAAATTTAATGTCCTTATCAATTTAAAGGTAATTCATTTGTAAGAACGTAATTGGGAATATTCTCTGTGCTTCAATTTTAATTTTTTTCCTTGATAAATTTTGGTGTGACTTCTTTCAGCGTAGATGTTTATATATTCAAAGTAATATTTTCTTGCATAGAAATATTTTATGAATTGAGTATATATAGACATTTGCATAATTTTTCTGACTTAATCACAAGTTTCTATAATTGTCATTTTTAATATAATAATTCCGTTATAATAGCTTAATTTAGCTACAAAGTATTTTTATTTAATCATAAGCAATATTCTAAAGTATTTAAAAATATTTTTTCTACTGTTTAAATTATTGTAGGTGTGAATGAAAGTTCGTTATTACCAAAACGTCCTTGTTCTTCTGAAGTAATCAGTGTTAATCCAAAAAAGTCTAAACCCAGTGAATGTGTTTCTGGAGCAGATTCCTTAGCTGTATTTCCTTCAGCTAAGTCTCTTTCAGTGACATCTCCCCAGGCTATGTCATCACAAGGTAAATATGAAATGTGGCATATAAGAAAGAAATATATACATACAATTTAGAAATTATAGTAAATTTACAAACTATTAGTGGTTATTTAAGGTTAAAAAGTGATAAATCTTGAACTATACATTTTGACTTTATTTTAGGTACAAGTAACTCAACAACTCAATCTAAAAATGGAACACCTTTTCCAAGAGCTTGTCCAAAGTGCAATATTCATTTCAATCTTTTGGATCCTTTGAAAAATCACATGAAGGTAAAACTTTTCCAAGTTTGATTTCAAAAAGGTTTGCAAATTTCTAAAAATATTGATTGATTTATAGTAATTAATGGTTCAGTTATTTAGATAAAAAATTCCTATTGATATTTCCATATAACAGAAAATAATGATTATATGAATAATGATTATTTTCATAGATTTTAATATTCCTTCTTAATCATTAAATTTAAAAAATTAAGTTCATATATATCATGGTCCAGTGCACAAAATCTTGTTCTCTGGGGTTCCTCAGTCCAGCCTGTGCCCTCTCGCAGTCAGTGAGCCCAGGGGGGATGTTTGACTGATGGGTAATAGGCCTAAGTCATCAGTCAGACATCCTATTAGCATAGCCACGGAGACGAGGGAGGCTCCCACCACTGGCACTGTGCTTGCCAGCTGTGAGCCTGACTTGAGGCTGAGCAGCACTCCCCTTGTGGGAGTGCACTGACCACCAGGGAGCAGCTCGTGCATTCAGTGACTGCTCCCTGATGGTCAGTGCACGTAATAGTGACTGGTGGTTCTACTGTTCGGTCAATTTACATATTAACCTTTTATTATACAGAACTAGAGGCCTGGTGCACGAAATTCGTGCATGGGGGGGTCCCCTCAACCCAGTCTGCACCCTCTCCAATCTAGGACCCCTTAGGGAGGATGCCAGACTGCTTGTTTTAGCCCCATCCTGGGGACATCCCTCTCACAGTCCTGAACCACTGGCTCCCAATTGTTTGTCTGCCTGCCTGATTACCCTTAACTGACTCCCCTGCCAACCTGGTTGCCCTTAACTGCCCCCCACTGCTGGCCAGGTCACCCCAACTGCCCTCTCCCTGTCGCTCTGGTTGCTTATAACTGTCCCCCCCCCCCCACCCGCTGGCCTAGTTGCCCCTCACTGCTCCTCCTGCCAGCCTAATGTCTCCCAAGTGCCCCTCCCCACTGTCGGCCTGGTCGCCCCTAACTTTCCTCCCCACCCTCTGCCAGCTCATTTGACTCTTACTGTTCCCCCACCACCAGCAGCCCGGTTGCCCCCAACTGGCCTGATTGCCCCTAAGTGCCCCCTTCTGCCATCCGGGTTGCTTCCAACTGCCCTCATTCCCCCTTACCTCCCTGCTGGGTTGGTTGCCCCACACAGCCTGCTTGTTCAGTCGTTTGTTCATCCCTCACTAACCCCCCCGCTGGCCTGGTCCTACGCAGCCATCTTGTGGGAGCACGAGAGTCAGTTTGTATATTAACTCTTTATTATATGGGATGCTTATTGTATTCTAATTTTAAATAAAAATGCATTAATCATATTATTTTATTTACTAGAGTATGCCATGCTTCAAACGTTAAAAAGCTGACTTTTTTAATAAACATTTTGTTTCTTCAGTTAATTTTGTGTCTATCCATGCCAGTATGTACATGACACAATGAAAATCAGAGTTATACGTTTAATTTCTAACACTCAAACATAAAATTCACATGGTGAAGCATTTCATATAAAATAAATGTTTTAACTCAACCCAGAATATTGTTTGTGTAATTATTATAAAACAATTTGAGCTTATTATTGGTACAGGAAGCTTTTAAAATTAGATTTAAAAATTCTGCAAAGTACAGATGAAATATGAGATTTAGATAATACTTCACTTAAAATATTTTATTACATTTTATAGTATTCTGCTCTGTCCTTGTAAAGATAGCCTGTATTCTTCTTCATGCCCATTATAAATGTCAGGAAGAGTAAAAGGAATGAAAAGGCAGTGTAGATTATATGAAGAAAAGGAAGGAGAAGGGTGCAACGGTAAAGAAATAACTAAGAGAAAGTTCTTTTTCACTATTTCAGATTTATAAATTTTTACTAAAATTTGTTTTACAAAACAGGTAGAAAAAGGTATTATATTTGTAATAGTAAATTCATTATATTCATGTACAAAACGATTTTAACTGTCAGTACTTCCAGCTCCTAAATTGTAGACCCTGATAACTGTACTTTGTGCTTTGTTCTTATATGAGAACTGGAGGTCTGGTGCACAAAATTCATGCAGTTGGGGGTTCCATAGTTAAAACTACTAGAAAGAAAATGACAGCTATGCCAGACCAAAAATATTGAACAGATATACTGGACAACATTCCCCCAACAAAAGAGCAAAACAACTTTATGAAATAAATACTTAAAAATATAAATCAAAACTGCATTTAAAATAAAGAAAGACACCAATATAGAAGTTGAAAAAAACATGTATGCTAAAGAAGAAATTGACCCAAAATTTATACTAATCAGTACCAAGTCACTTTCGTATAAATTTATCAATCTTTCAAAATAAAAAATCCTGTGAACAGCCAGGGCAAAACATCAAATTATTTATGAGCAGCAAACTCAGTAAGGCTTATGCCAGATTTCTCAACAGCGGTATCAATATTGTAAAACAGGAGTACCACCCACAAGATCTTCAGATTAGGATTCAACTTACTTTATATCTGGCCAAACTATTTTTTTTTTTTTTTGGTGGTGGTGTTTTTTACAAAAATGGAACACAGTGAACACGAAAGAACTCAAAGAATGCTGTTCCCAGGACCTTCAGGAAATTAATAGAGAATGAACTTCAGCAAAACAAGTAGTTTTAACTTTTTCTTTCTTTCTTTTTTTTTTTTTTTTAAATATATTTTATTGATTTTTTACAGAGAGGAAGAGAGAGGGATAGAGAGTTAGAAACATCGATGAGAGAGAATCATCCATCAGCTGCCTCTTGCACACCCCCTACTGGGGATGTGCCCGCAACCAAGGTACATGCCCTTGACCGGAATCGAACCCAGGACCTTTTAGTCCGCAGTCTGACGCTCTATCCACTGAGCCAAACCGGTCTCGGCTTAACTTTTTCTTTAAAAACCAATTATATGTTTTTCTCATTACTAGTCCTTGTCAACTATTTTATTTATTTTATTTTATTATTTTATTTTATTTTATTATTTTATTTTATTTTATTTATTTTATTTTATTTTATTTTATTTTATTTTATTTTATTTTATTTTATTTTATTTTATTTTACAGTGTCTACCGCTATATTCTGTTCTTTCTACTTTATCTAAGTTGATTTTCAACCTCAGTTTGTCTTTTTGTCTTGCCATTTCCTCTTGCCCATTTGATCTTCCAAATAGACACAATTGCTTTATTAAGTTTTTTACAAACTATAGCAAAATTTTTAGCCTGTCAACCATCTTGCATGTATCTGCTCCAGTTTTTTGGTTAGAAATTTACATTTTCCTTCTTTTTAATTTAAAATATTTTTGTTTACCAGTAGATATAAGTTACTATAATTGAACAAATTGGATTTCTTGGGCTAATTGTTTTGTGCAAGGCTCCTATTAAGGAGCATGGGTTTCCAGGCTAATCTCACAGTCTACTACTCTTTGCTGGACAAAAGGCTTTCTGAAAGTGTGTCTTGTGTGTCTGCTTTTATAAGTAGCATTGCCTTTCCTACTTCCCTTTACCAAATGATCTGGGGGACTTCTGCTATCCTCCTTGTGCTAGCACCCCTATCCATTTTTGCAAACAAAGGATATAACTTTGGACTTCAAAATGTTTCTTTCACTTTTAGAATGTATATTTTTGCTGAGGCTTTCTAAGATCTTCACTATTAGGCTCTTTGACTGAGTTGATCTCAACTGCATGTCTTCTGTCTGAACTTGGCTGCTTTGAGTAGTGCTTTCAATGTGTAGTCTGTGGAGTGTAGTCTGGCACTTAGTTTCAATGAAAATAAAAATTTTAAAATTTGGTTGCTGTGGCTTTTGGATGAATCCCAGAAGGAGATTGGGGGAATTTAGACTTACCTAGGATAATCATATGGGGAAGTACTATTTTACTATTTAAAAATGCTACTTCTTTGCTCTGAAAATCCTACCTAAATTTTTTAGTACTAACAAAGTAACAGAACATGATTTAACAATGGACAGGAATAAGTAAAGATGGTGTCTGCTGTTTGTCAAATTACAGTATATTGAAATAAAGTTTTTAATATTGCAGAATGTCTAACCCAGGAAAAGAAGGGATAAGCCAGGGGCAACAGTGAAGGGCTAAGGTTTAATAAAGATGACCAATTGATCTTGGACCATAGGTCAGCCATGCATATCCTCCTATAAAACCTTAAATCAAGACCAGTTTCGGCACAACCTTAACTCTAAAACACTATTTTTTTGTCCCAGTTTTTCAGTCCATTTTATTCAGTATTTTTTCCCCTATTTTCAGTGTACTTCGGATTTTGTGGGCTTGGTTTTTGTTGGTCTCTTTTCTCTTTATAGGTTTTAGAACTGACAAGTGGACAAAATAAGTGCAATTGAAGGAAACGTTATAGGTCTGCTTTGGCTCAAAGGCCTAGCTTCTTATGTGACAGAAAGTTTCACTGATGATCTAACATTTCAATGTGACAGAAGAGGAAGTGGATGTTGTTATCTTAGAAATGGAATAGAATTGCTTTTAGATTTTTAAATTTTCTGATGTTGCTATTAACTTACTAAACACATTTAGGAAGAGTTTAAATCAGTAGGTTTATGTTTTAAAATAATTACCTGGATGGCTATTAAAAATGCAGATTTTTAGGGCCTACCTCTTGACATTGTGGTTTATTGGTTTGAAGTGGGTCCAGGAATTAGCATTTTAACAAGTATTTCTGATTTTTCTAATGTAGGTCTTCCTCTGAGAAAATCTGCTGTAGGAAAATTTTGTACTTAAAAATTATGTAAATAAATGAATTACTTATATCTTGCTAAGGAAAAAAAGCTCATGTATGAAAGTGTTCCATATTAAAATCAGTTTATGTAATATGCTGATTTTACTTATGAGGAATTAAATCTCCCCTTAAAATATTTAACCATTCTATATATCAAAATGTAACTGTTGGTGTTTTCAAGACATACTGATACTTCTTTCTTTTTCACCATACATTATACAGCACTTTGAGTATGAGAAATTCAGATTAGCTGTGTGCTCAATGTCCAGTTCCAACCACATATTATGAAGTTTACTATGTCTCTTAATAATTAACATATACATTATGACACATAAAACTACAATTTCTTTCTAGACTTTTTCTTGACATGGATATGAAATAAATGATTTTTAGTTTAGTTTTAATTAAAGTATTTATTATTAATAATACATCTGAAATGGTTAATTGCATGGAAGATACTTTAGACCAATAGCAAGTCCTGATTTTAAGGTTTTCTCTTTTTGAATTGTTTTAGACTTGTATATGCACCACAAACTTTTGGTGATTATTTTTCTAGCTACATTACAAAGCATTGTTTAACATTGTCTGGCAATGGGTTTAAACACAGAAAATTTGGGGGTATTTGTGCTTTTAAAGGGTAAAGGCTTTTTTTTTTTTTTCCCCCCTCTCTCTTTCAGTACTGTTGTCCAGACATGATAAATAACTTTTTGGGACTGCCTAAAACTGACTTTTCAAGTACAGCAGATAAAGATAACACTATTGATTCAGAGAAAGGAAAATTGATCATGTTAGTTAATGACTTTTATTATGGAAAACATGAAGGAGATGTCCAAGATGAACAGAAGACTCACACAACCTTTAAATGCTTCAGTTGTTTGAAAATTCTTAAAAATAATATTAGGTACGTAAATACTTACTTTATTTCTAATTGAAAATTGGAATGCTGCAGATAAAATTTTTGTCTGTGCCATTCTAGATATTTAACACTTTCTACGAAGAACAAAGGCAGATAGATAAACTTTTAATTGCTTAAAGTTATAAGGTAAAATTTTAATGGCTCGTTTTCTCTATGTGTAAATATTTAGCCAAGTCTAGGATTAAAACCAAAGACGGATAAAAAGATTTTTTAAGGAGTATCATAACGTATTTTAAAGAGGAGTAGTGTTGTGAATAAGTGAAAAAGAGATAAATGTTATGATCTTCAAGATGATTGCTATCCGTATTGATGACATTATTTGTTTTAAGATTACTTCCTTTAGGGACTCAAAGTGAATAATTGTTAATAGTGCTCAAGCCTAAAAATTGTTATTTTGATTGAATAACTAAGCTATAGCAAAAAGCTTCAGTAAGCTCTTTTAAATAGGTATTCCCTTTTATACTGCACCCTCTGTTGTTGAAGGTCATAGTTCCTACTCATAAGAAGCCTTTTAGAGAAGCTGACATAGCAGATGTAAAACTAAAAAATGGACTTTGCCTAGAAAGAGCACAGTCTACATGTTAACATGAATAGTCTATGCTAACAGTAAACCAGTATCATTAAACAAAACAAAAAGTTTTTATAATTGTAGGCATTAAAATTGCTAGTACATACATTTAGAAACTAAGATACAAGTAAAAATACCAGTAATTTGTATTTTAAGCAACTGGAATCTATTGTATATCTTCTTGGCTTTAAAGGATTACTCTCATACCTGAGTATATGCTTTTGGTGTGTTCCCTTCCTTTCAGTATTTTATTGAAAAATGTAAATAGTATTTCATCTGTGAAAAAGAAGCCTGCTGTTTCACCTTAAAAAACATTTTAATAATCTGAAATTATTAAATTACAGCAAATTAGTGATATTTCAGATTAATTATATTAATGAATTTTTAAAACAGATTTAAAAAGATGTTTATGTAATCACTTAATGAAAGTGATTATTTAAAGTGCATACTTTTCTAGAGGAATTTAAGGCTTTTGGGATTTTATTTCATGTAATATATGTATATTCTAAGATTCAGATAATTATTTGTGAGATTTTTGTTTTTAAATCTGAATTTTGCACCTGTTGGCAATCATTTATAGGTTTATGAACCACATGAAACACCATTTGGAACTTGAGAAGCAGAGCAGTGAAAGCTGGGAAAACCACACCACCTGCCAGCACTGCTACCGTCAGTTTCCCACACCATTTCAACTGCAATGTCACATTGAAAGTACACACACCCCCCATGAATTTTCTAGTAAGTTACAGTTTCATTTTAAGTACTGAATATTACTGATTTTGTCAATATTAATTCTAAGAAAACCTTAAACTTGTTAAAACAATAAGAATAAGACTGGAATTTGAGGGTAAAGTGGAAAAAGTTACATTTTGATTATTAAAAACTTTTAAATAAAATTACAAAAATTAAAGTCACTCTTGTAAATAATTAAGGAAAATAACCTGCACATTATAAGTGGGGGGCTAAGAAGCCTTAGATCATAGTTTTCAAATATGAAATTAATGTCCTTTATTTAAACTTGTGTAAGAAAAGGAACTAATAGTGGTAGTTAACAATCATAGATTTTGGAACTAGACCACTTGAGTTCAAATCCTAGATCTTCCTCTTAATACAGCTCTATCTGGTCTCAGGCAAGCTATTCCTAATATTTGAGTAATGATAATAATAGAAATACCTGTTTCATAATGTTGTTGTGGGAATTAAGTGAGTTATTGTAAGTACAGTGCCTTAGAACATAGCTAACTGTAAAACTAACTGTTCACCACCACCACCAAGTTTGCTGTTGTTACTGTTATATAGATGCATAAAATGAATTTTATATCTATCTATCTTGTTTGCCTCAAAAGGATACTTTATTTGAAAAATTAAAAAATAAAATAATTTGAAGTATAATTGACATACATTTGATTAGTTTTAGGTGTTCAAATAATGATTTGATGTGTGTGTGTGTGTATGTATTTATATATCTTGAAATGATGTAATGTCTTTCCCCCACCCCCACTTTTAGCCATTTGCAAAATCTGTGAATTATCATTTGAAACAGAGCATATTCTTTTACAACATATGAAGGACAATCATAAACCCGGTGAAATGCCATATATTTGCCAGGTATACACATATTTTATTGTGTACTTAGTGTTTGTTTGTTTTGTTTGTTTTCTGTTATTTTGGTTACAAGATTTAAACCTGTTATGCCAGGAATCAGCAAGTCTTTTACTGTAAGGGGCAAATAGTAAATGTTTAGGCTTTAAAGGTCATACAGTCTCTGTTGCAACTAATCAACTCTGCCACTATAACACAAAGACAGCCACAGAAAATAAGTGAATGAATGTGCACACAAATTTGAATTTATGCACACAAATTTGAATTTCATATAATTTTCTTGTGTCATGAAATACATTTTTTTGATTTTCTAACCATTTAGATAAAATTTGCAGTTAAAATTTCTCTTGTAAATGATTTATTAGTAGAAAGTCCTGTGGCATAATTCATGTATTGTATATAGGGTCAGTAGAGATTAGGAATTGGCCCACAAGCCATTGTTTACTCATTCCTATACTGGACAAAGAAAAGCTCTGAGGGGAAAAGACAAACTATGAACTTACCTTAATACATAGTTATACAAGGGAAATATGAAATTATTTTAGATATAGAGCGTACTACAAAATTCTCTGGGCCTTCTATTTTTCCAGAATTTGAAGGAATAGGAAAGCATGATAAAAATAAATTGCCATTGCCATAGCCTGGAGGTAATTTATAATCTCAAGGAAGATGATGTTTTACATAGAAGAAAAAACTTTATAGGACAAGAAGTATCAGCTTGCAAAAAGTCAGAATAGGGAGCAATTCTGACTTTTTGCATCTAATGAAAAGAAGGAATTCTAATTATATTTTGGGAAATATTCCTAAACTTGGAAAGATAACTTTTCTGTCTCAAAGATCATCTTCTAGTGCTTGCATTAATGGGATTCTTGGTTGTGTAGATATCAGAGCTAAATTAGTTGTACATAATGTTCTTCCAAATAAATGACTTACTGCTATAATTGTATATCAAGTACATTTTCAAGTTAAGTTTAACATTCTTTTTATTTGTAGGTTTGCAATTATAGATCGTCATCATTTTCTGATGTAGAAACTCATTTTAGATCATCCCATGAAAACACTAAGAACTTGCTATGCCCATTTTGCCTCAAAGTTATTAAAATTGCCACACCCTATATGCATCATTATATGAAGCATCAGGTGAGATGACCAGTTCTTATTTGTTCATGTTGTTTTAGCTAAAAGATAGATTATGACTTAAAACCATAAGATTTGTTCTACAAGGGAAGTAAAATTGTTCCAAATGACACTGTTAATTTGCATTTTATGCTAAATTACTTGTGAAACTTTCACTTTACCTTGCTTCCTTTCTGGTGATGTGGCTCATAAGTGAAAATTCTGAAAGATAGCTAGAAATAGAAAACCTAAGGATTGAAGGAAAAAAGAAGATGAGTGGAATATCCAAAAGATCAAATATCTCAGGATCTGAGAGTGTTTATGGGATTTTGAAGGTAGATAACAGGAACATGGGAAAATATGAAGTTGAACTGAGAAAGAAAAGATTGGGGATTCATAATCTTATTTTCCTCTTCTTCTTACTACTTTATTGCTCCTTTCTAGCTCCCTTATTCTGAGAAAACATGTTGTTATCATTGATCAGCAGTCGTCTTTTATAGCTGCCGGTGACAAAGGAAATAGTAATGACACTTTTTGCTGGATATATGAGCATTGCCAAAGAGCTGCATTTAGGTCATAATTTGTTTTGTGGGTGACTTCTGCCAGTTCTGCTATGTAATTTTTGAGACCCAGGATTAGTGCTTATACCACTATCTTGAATTCTGATTTTTTGCTTACTGGTTCTTTTCCATGAAGCAATTAAACCATCCTCTGTTTGAGCTGAAAACTTTGATGCAACACAATCTGTTTTTAAGGTATCTGATAATGTAACCTTGACACCTCACTACTCATGGTGCTCATCATATTTAAAAAAAAAATATTTTATTGATTTTTTTACAGAGAGAAAGGGTGAGGGATAGAGGGCTAGAAACATCGATGAGAGAGAAACATTGATCAGCTGCCTCCTGCACACCTCCTAGTGGAGATGTGCTGCAATCAAGGTACATGCCCTTGACCAGAATTGAACCCAGGACCTTTCAGACCAAAGGCTAACACTCTATCCACTGAGCCAAACTGGTTAGGGCCATATTTTTTATTATTGATTAAATTGACATGGCAGTTCATTTATCATTGCTTGCTCACTTTGCTTTCCATTTCTATCATTAGATAATCATAAAGTTGACTTATGGTTTTTAATTGGGACAAATTATAAAATAATTTCCAAATGAATTTGGAATTACCTATGTTGTGACTGGGATTTTACCCATCCTTGAGAAGTTCTGTCAAGATTTTTTATTCTAGGTTTTCTTAACAGTGTTCCATTATGTGTTAGTAGATATTTTCCCTCAAATTGTTACTGGTAAATAAATTTGGTAAATGCCTGGATTTATAAAATTAAACAGTTTTGTCTTTCTTAAAATAGGACTTCTCAGGTTTTAATATGTTAAAACATTATAATATCTAAGTAAGGGATATAAGTATGTATTATCACCTCTCCTTCCTCTTTCCCATCAACTTATTTGACCACAGAATCTTTTCAGAATGTCTGTTAACTTTTATTGAGGACAGAGTTTGGGAAACACTACTTCTGGTACTCTTTCTAATGTTTGGCCTTTAATTTTGAAAGAGAAAGTGAGATATGAGATAGTAGTTCTATTTTATTATGGGGCTTTTTATGTAATTTTTCCTATATGTTTTACTAAGCTCCAGAGTAAAATTTTGATGTGGAAGAATGATAATTATGAAATAAATGAGTGGGCCTACTTTGTGGTCTCTGTGATTTATAATCAGTTTTTGTACCCTAAGTTTTATGTCTTAATTTGCTTTGGGTACCCAAGGTTTTGTTTGTTTGTTTTGTTTGTTTGTTTATATCTTAGGAGGTAGATAGCTAGCAGTAGAGAGGGGGAAATCTATTAAGAAGGATAATCAGGCATTCTTCAAGGTATTTACAAATTATATAATTATTTACTAGAGATTGGAAAACCTTAGCTGAGCAGGATTATAAATTTATAATTGATGACACATTATTAGTGTGATATTAAACAATAAGAATTGTTGACACCATGGTTCATTTTATTGTCTTTAAAGATTTTGGTTGTAACTTTTCTTTTCTTTTATTCTTTTTTTTTTAAAAAAAATATATTTTATTGATTTTATACAGAGAGGAAGAGACAGAGAGAGAGATAGAAACATCGATGAGAGAGTCATCGATCAGCTGCCTCTTGCACACCCCCTACTGGGGATATGCCCGCAACCAAGGTACATGCCCTTGACCGGAATCGAACCCGGGACCTTTCAGTCCCCAAGCCAACGCTCTATCCATTGAGCCAAACCGGTTTCGGCGGTTGTAACTTTTCTTTAAGAGGTTCTATTATTAAGTTCTGGGTGATTTTAGAGCTGACAACCCAGTTTGTATGACTTAAAATAGTGAAAGTGATTTTGGATGTGTTAAATATACTCATTAGATCTTTAATAAAAATAATAAGCAGTTAAAATAATATGCAATCATTTATGGCAGCAGCGGGTGTTTTATATGCATTATCTTACTTAATCCTTACACTTACTTTATGTATATTAATGTTTCTTATAGATAAGTTTTAGAGAAAATAACTTGTCCTATGTCACACTACCTAATAAAAAGTAGAGTTAAAATTTGACTTCAGAGCCCAACCTTTTGTTGCTTTCACACAGAGTCAGATTTTATATTGGTATTAATATATAAGGGCAGAAAATACTTATAGTCAGAATTACCCTCAAATCTCTCAAATTTCTCAATTTTCTCAAATAATGGAACATTAATACCACTGTTTAGATACCTTTCATTAGAACTATTGATACAACTCTTATGTTCAACTTTTGTACAATAACAGACATTTTTGAAACCTAAATACTAATGTAAAGAGTATTTTAAAAATTGAAATAATACTTCACTAATATTTATGAGAGATACAAGATACTATTTTAAAAATTATTTAGGTATCATTAATGTTAAATAAGAACAGTTTGAGGACCCAGGATTTGTGATTGCTGAAATTATTTTTCCTGTTTTCTAAACAGAAAAAAGGAATACATCGTTGTACAAAATGCAGACTGCAATTTTTGACCTGCAAAGAGAAAATGGATCACAAGACTCAGCATCATCGAACATTTATAAAACCTAAAGAGCTAGAAGGGCTACCTCCTGGAACAAAAGTGAGTGTAACTATGTTGTATTTTAACATATGTTATGATAATAAAATTAATTCCTGTCTGGTTTTAACTACTAAATATAATACTTTAAAAAATGGTTTCTGATTTTTATGAAGACTCCAATGTCAAATTTTAGCCAGCCTGCCTGCCTGCCTGCCTTCCTTCCTTCCTTCCTTCCTTCTTTCCTTCCTTCCTTCCTTCCTTCCTTCCTTTCTTTCTTTCTTTCTTTCTTTCTTTTAATTTTAGCATTCTTATGTTTAGAAAAAACCTAACCATTGTTTTTTTCAGTAGTTGGTGTGTGCTATGCTAGAATGGTATTCCTTTGTAAAAAGTGCAATTAGATATTGTGTTTCCTGGGTCAGTGGTTTGTGTCAATAGCCTATTTTTGAGCTATTCTTGTGGGTTTTACTTGCCAAACTATTTGAGATCAGGAATCATGATTTATTTATCTTTGTGTCCTCAGCATCTAGTATAGTGCTTTGAATACCATAGGGTCTTAGATGTTTATTGAAGTTGTTATTACTGAGTCCACTCTCAGAGAAACAAGTTCTACTGCTGGATAGCATTGTGTTTTAAGTGAGCAAACACATGTCTGACTACATACTGATGATTGTATTTTACCTTTCCCTTTTTGCCTTATATTCCTGTTTTTTTCTGACTTCTTTATATACAGTCAGCTCTTGAATATTTGCTCCAGTGGAGGGAAACAGAGGCATGGATAATCCAAAGTGAAATAATCCCCAAAACATTTATATTTGGCTTTGGGTACTTACCTTTGAATGTGGGTATGTCTATTATTTGAATTAACTAAACAATATAAAGCCATGCTCTGAAGACTTAGAGCAAGAGAAGCTATCCAGCATCCTTCCCTGCAATCCATTCATTCCATGCTGGGACTAGACATGCAAAACACGAATGTAAGCAGTGCAGTCCTCTCTCATATTTTCCCTTATTAATGATAATAGTAATAATATTATTAATAACTATACTAAATGTTTTTTTCGCACCTTAGAATTAGGCTTTCGGTATGCTTTTTCATAGATTCTTTTATTTAATTCATACTGCAATCTGGTGTGATAAACAAGGCAGGTATTGTTCCATAGTATATAGGTAAAGAAGCTTAGAGACAATAAGTTACTTATTCTAGGCTACATGGCTACAAAGGAGTTGTATGAGATTTAACTTCAAATTTTCTGATTCTTAGTCCATTGCTTTTGTATGCTACCAAACATGTTTTATAGGACTTCCTCAGAGACTACTCAAAATATATACATGGAGGGGAAACTAGTCATATGTTTAATGAGAATGTTGGTAGGCATTTGTGTTTTCCATTGTCAACTTAACTAATATAATTTTTGAATACTATATCATAAGCTTTATATTAGTTCTCTTTAAGGAAATTCTAAATTTTATTACACTCTCCATGAAGTATATATATTGAATTAATATAGGCTCCCCTCTTCCTACCCCTCCCCCCCAACACACACATAACCTTTGTAAACATAAATTCTGCTAAATGAGCCCCTGGAAAGAGATCACATTTACTGTGGGTAATGCAGGCCTTTCTAGAGTTATTTTTCAGGTTTTAAGATTTAAATTTTGACCTCTATATTAATTTTTTTAATTATATCAGAGCATAAAAATAGCTATGGAATGTGCTCTTTAATGTCCATAAAATTCCCAATTATTCATTAATAACAACATTTCACTGATCAATATAAAAATATAAGTAAATTAATATCAAATTTTAATGTCATTTAAATATTTAAAATAATTAGAAGACTTATCCAATTATAGTTTATTCTTAACTCTTTTAAAAATACTTGATATTTAACTTTTTGTTACATGATGATATTTTAATACTTATGCAAGGGTTAATCATCTAAAGTAAATATTATCTGTTTTTGTAGGTTACTATTCGAGCTTCAGTTGGACCTCTTCAATCAGGATCTTCAACTGTACCTTCCATTAGTACAAATACTATCCTTCAGGCCTCACCTCCAAGAACAAAATGTGTAACTGCTAAAAATTCCACAAAATCTAACACAAGTAAACTTACTACAACTAAACCTAATGCAAGTAAACCTACTACAAGTAAGCCTAATGGAAGTAAATCTAAATTCAAATCAAAAGTCTCTACTATGCAAAAAAAACAAAGCACTTTGGCTAGTAGCAACAGAAAAAGTAAAGTCAATACAGCATTGAGGAACTTAAGGTAATCTTTTATTCCTAATATATAATACTAATTTAATCTTAAATAAAAGAATAAAACCTTTATTTAATCTAAATATACACAACTCTCAACTTTCATAAGCTATTACTTATGGCATAAAGATCAAGCAAATAATAAAAGTTTGTCTTTTTTAACAACTGTTGTTGAACAGTACTTTCCTATATTTTTCCTGTAATATTCAGGAAATATTGGTGGTATTATATGTTATACTTCTATCTTATGACATTTGATGAAGTGGTTTATTCCAGGGGTAAGCATTAACTGATGTTACACCTATCCTAGCTGTTGTTCCATAGCAAATGTTCAAGTTATGAGTCTGTGTTTAAATATCTTCATTTAAACAGCGTGGTTTTAATTAACAGAACATTATTAAAGCTCTCCCTTATTATTTTTGTTTTAAAATATATTGTTACCATTTTCTTTATATCTCCATAAGGTATCGTCTAGGAATTCACCGGTGCATTGAGTGTTGTTCCGAAATAAAAGATTTTTCAAATCACTTTCCTACATATGTCCACTGTAGTTTTTGCAGATACAACACTAGCTGTAGCAAAGCCTATGTGAATCATATGATGAGGTAAGATGAATCATATGATGAGGTAAGATGAGTTAAACATCTGTAATTACCATTTGAATTATAATATAGCAGGTTTGGTTTTTGAAAACAGTTATTCTATTAGAAGCCAATTTTTCCCTTCAAGGAGTTAAAAACTTTTAGCAATAGAGAATTTCTAGGATAATGCTTTCTACTGTTTTCCAGCATAGTAACTCATAAAATTACTGTAACTAAAATTGTAAGAACATTTAGACTAAAGAAATTATATAGGTCTGTTAGAAAAATAGATTTCCTATGGGAATCTCTTTTTCCTATAGGACTTTCAAAATGGTTATTTTTAAAAATAAAAATGTAAATGTTTCAAATATATTTACCAAACAAATGCATGTAATCTCATGAGTGCTATTCTCCTCAGAGCAGTCACTTTGAGAGACTCCAGGATTTTCACTGGTGCTAAGAACTTGATTGAATCTGTTTCCCTCTGTCCACCTATTTGTCAAGCTATCTATCCTTGCATTCAGTCAGTAAAATGAAAGACTATTCTACTTATAATGCCATTGTTGGAATTTTTTCATTAATTCACTCAACTTACTAGATTATTTGAGTACCTAACACATATGCACACTATATAGAGAAAGCCTCACAGATCATATTCATTTGTATTTTATTAGTAGAATCATCTTTTAGGATGGATTTTATTTGTTAAAAATAGTAAAAAATTGTTCAGATATAAACTAGTTTGGTTGTTTCTTTTTTTAAAAAGCCAGAATTAAAATATAATGAAAGTGATTTTCTCATAGATCATAACATGACCGTTATGTTACTTTCTGGTAATTATCAGCTGCTCCTCTAAATTCTCTCACTTTCTTGATTGCTTCACACCTTTCTCAAAGTCTCCTTCCTCCCAACCCCCCCCTGATTAGCCTAACCTTATGATACCTTATTTTTTTGTGCCATCACTTTACATCAACTTTTAAGTTATTATATATCCTTTTTACCTTGTGTCATTATAATCTCATCAAATGTATGTTTATTTCTTTTGAATTCCTATTTCCCTTTCACTTTCAGGGCTTTGACTCTTCTTTCCAAAGTCCAGCAGCATCCTCTTAACTTTATAGTCAACCTCACCCTCAGGGTGATCTGTTTTGATTGTTGCTTTGTTTTTGTTCTACAATTCTTTTTGAAAAATGTTTTTATTGATTTTAGAAAGAGACGAAGGGAGAGAGAGAGGAAAACATCAAATGACTGCTTCCTGCATACCCTTTACTGGGAGTCGAGCCTGAAACCCAGGCATGTAACCTGACTGGGAATCCAACCAGTGACCTCTTGGGACTACCAGCTGAGCCACTCCAGCTGAGCTGTTCTAGAATTCTTTACCTAACTTGTTTGGGACTACCAGCGGGGCTCTTGTACAATTCCTTACCTAACTCGTTTATATCTGAACAATTTTTTTTCCAGTTATCTTCATCCAGACATTGATCTTAGAAATAAAGAGGTTCTACTTCTACAAAGTTAACCCTGTCTCTTGTGGTTCTCCCACCACCTTATTCAGTTAACTTGCTACTTTATCTCTTCTTTTAACCAGGTTCCTTCTGTTTACACACTTTTTTTTTTTAATCTTCACTGGAGGATATTTTTCTTTTGATTTTCAGAAAGAGTGGAAGAGAGAGGAAAAGACAGAAATATTGAGTGAGAGAGAAACACATTGATTATTTGACTCATGCATGTGCCCTAAACAGGGGCGGGGAGTAGCTTGAAACCATGGTACATGTCCTTGACCAGAGTCGAACCCAGATCCAAGGACCCTTAGGTTTGCAGACTGACACTCTGTCCCTAAACCAAACTGGCTAGGGCTACACACATTTTGAGGTATTTTTTTGTTTGTTTGTTTTTTAAGATGAGGGAGATTTGTCTCTACTGCTTACTTTCCTTATTTCTTGTCCTCTCACTGTTTTACATTTGTACAAAGTGTTTGCTATTAGCTTATTATTTCTTTACCCTTAAATTTGAGTATCATCCCCACCTGCTAACTAACCATGCCCTTTAAAGATTATGTCATGTACTTATGCACCACATTTATTCACTTTTTAAAATTCTTACTACTCCATGACTTCAGAGTTTTTGACATTGTTGTCATTCACTTTTGAAACTATCCTCCTCAGATTCTGTTAAACTGTTACCACTCTTCTTCCTTTTTGGCTGTTCCTCTATTTCATTGCCTTTTCTTCCTTCAACATTTCTTGCCTCTTTACATTTCCTTTGTTGATAACCACTGTCGCTTTTACCTTTCGACTTTAAATTTTTCCCCCTTTAATGCTTAGTTTTCTAGACATCAACTGTATATTTTAAATTATTTTTATAGATATTTTTCCTTTGAAAATATCACTGGCATCTAAAAAGAACAAAATTAAGCCAAACATTATATAATCTGCAGAAATCATACAACTACCACCCAGATCACTCTTTCAGGGCATCATCTGTATGACTGGAAGACCAGCTGGAAATAACTCACTGTCCCACGTTTCTTAAGCTCATGAATTCTCTTGATTTACCACTTTGCATGGCTTTCTGAACAACCACCTCCTGCATTTTGCCACTCTGCTTCCAACTATTGCAGTGGTCTGCACCTATATTACATTTCTTCTAAACCAGGCCCCAGGCATTCTTTCTCTCAGTATACTTCTGAGTGAAGCCTCTTATTCTGTGACAAATATGCTGCTGCCCAAAATGGGGCTTTAAATCTGCCCTTAATTTACAGAGGGTCAAATTGGAAATCTTGTGTAATTCACTCTTCCAACTCTCATTTATCAGAGCTTCCCACTTGTCCTATACAACCTCCAAATCCATTCTGTTCCAAAACATTTTTAATGAGCCCGACTCCCATACCCTTTTCCCAATTCCTCAGTGAACCCCAACCCTGCATTTCATTGTCATCACACATGCTAAGCTCTTATTCATTGTTAGCTTCAGATAAACTGAAAGCTTCCATTGCCACTCTTAGGGTATGGTAGATCCCTTTTCCTTTTTCTTTACTTCACTAGTGCTCTTGCTTCAATGCCTTGAGTATTTCCCATTGAGTGGCCCATCGGTACCATTGCAAATTTTGGATTGTTGTTATAACCTTGGGTTCTGTAGGTACAGAGTTACATTTTCTCCAGAGGATGAGTACATTTAATTCATATTCATACCACCTCTGTACTCTCAATTGGTCTTTTTCCCACTGGTCTTAAATCTGTCCCATTCTTTCTATATAGACGCCCATCCCCCTAAGTTGACTACTCGTTTCCATAGAAAAGTCTCTTTACTCATTTTTGATAGTGGCTTTTCTTATTTTTGTTAGTTTCTGGAACGTCTCTGTCCTTCTTTTCAGTTAACCTTTGAAGTATTTGGTCACCATAACCACTCACATGGATCATTCCTACCTTTGAATTGTGGACCATTCATTGATTCTGCCTTTTATTACATTTGTTGGTCTCTATATATCTCCTTGGAAGACAGGGCTGTTTGTGTTTACCATGTCATCTACAACATTACAAATAGCAATTGATAGTTATTATTTGTTATAATTATAAAAGGCTCTAAAGAGGATATTCAAAAATAGTGATGCAATTGGAGCATTTTTGGAATAAGACTCTTTCAAGGTAGTTCATCATTAAACATGTAATTTTTAAGTAATTTTTTTTAAGTAGAGCATTGAGTGTGGTGGTTTTATTGCACCTTACTTACTTATAGCTTTGAGATAGCAATAGGAGTTTCCTAGAATAATCCAAACAAATTGCTGTATGTTGGAATTTCCCTCAACGTGATGCATAAGAAGGCTTTTTCTCTACATATAATAAAGTTAACAGACATAAGTACTGTATTTTAATATCTCTTTTTCTAGTAGAGTTTACTGTTTGCTAAGAAGTATGACAGGCTTGTGGAGAAGAATCAGACAAATCTGTATTTTAATCTAAGCTTCACAATTTATTAATTTTCATTGTGACTTTGGGCAAGTTAATTAACCTGACTCCCAGTTTTATTTTCTTCAAACGAAAGTTACTTTGATTATTTAAGGATATGTAAAATTAAAGTGCTTAATGATATGATTTGCTCTTACGCAGCTTTCAAGTAATTATAGCTACTGTTCTTTTCTAAGTTGTCAATATTAAGCTGTTGTGGATAAAGTCCTTGTCATTGATTTTCATAATTTATTAGGAGAGATACACTATTTACCTAGCTTAATATGATAAATTACCATGAGAGCACAGAGGAGGTAAGAACAAATTCTTTGTAGAAGAAATAAGGGAAGGTGTCCTATAGTTGATATTTCACTTAGGCTTTGACGAGTGATTTAAAAAAATTACCAAAGAAAAGGGATGTTGGTAAAATCATATTATTCCTGCCGAAACCAGTTTGGCTCTGTGGTAGAGCAACAGTCTGCGGACTGAAAGATCCCAGGTTCGATTCTGGTCAAGGGCACATCCCCAGTAGGGGGTGTGCAAGAGGCAGCTGATCGATGATTCTCTCTCATCGATGTTTCTAATTCTCTATTCCTCTCTCTTCCACTCTGTAAAAAATCAATAAAATATATATTTTTAAAAATCATATTATTCCTATACAATAAACAGGACAGAATACTGAAATTTTATAAGATATGCTTGAGTTTAATGTATATTTTGTATAGATTTATTGGATCTAAATAATTGTCATTAAAAGGACAGTTAAGTAATTGTTATAGTTGGTTGCCTGTGTACAATTCCCAGGTAATGCTGATTTAAATCCACTTTTAGTTATATTATGTTAAACGAATCCTGTCTTTTCTAGTATAGGGAGGCTTTCCTTACCATCTTTAAAAAGGTATATAGTGTGGCTCAGTGGTCGTGTGTCAACCTATGAACCAGGAGGTCACAGTTAGATTCCTGGTCAGGGCACATGCCTAGGTTTTGGCTTGAGCCCCAAAAGTGGGCATGCAGGTGGCAGCTGTTCAGTGATTCTTCCTACCTCACTCTGAAATGAATAAAAACATATAAAAGGGTATATAAAAGCAATATTTTGTTACAAAGGTTGTTTAGTGGTTTTCTTTTCTATGCTTAGTGAAAGCATTATTTTAATAGTTTTGCTTAAACTTTTTTTAAACCCCTGCTTATAACTGCAGAGAACTCTATAAATGTTTGATATTATAAATGGTAAACAGTGGCATTTAGCTTGAGTGTTGTTTACTTACAAGAAGATCATTTAGAGTCTACCTCCTTTCCCAACATAAGTATGTTAAGATTGGAAAACAATTTAAAAAATAAGAACTGTTCATATTAGAGTAAAAACATTAGCAAAAAAATGAAAATTGCTTTCAACTCTTTAGCAGATAAAAACTAAATTTGTGCTTTACTTTTTTTAAAAACTTGAATATTTACTTTTGTGTATGATGAGGGGTACTGATTATATGAGCAAATACATAGAGAAATTTGTGTCATTAGAAAATAAATAGATAAAATGGAATGTAAGATAAAATATGGAATTACACAGGGATGACAAACATTATTTTATTTATACCATGATCTTTTACTCAAAACTAGGAATTTAAATATAGACTTGAAATACAGGTATAAATTAATGTGACTATTATAGAATAAAATAAATAAAATCTTTTTGTCTTTCCAGCTTTCACAGTAACCGCCCAAGTAAAAGATTTTGTATTTTTAAGAAGCTTTCAGGAAATCTCAGGTAACTAGTTGATTTTTAAAAATTCTTTCTATTGAAAAATTTTATGACTTAAATTTTTAATATAATATCTTCAGTGAGATATAATCCACATATCACACAATTCACACACTTAAATTGTACAATTAATAGTTTTTTAATATATTCACTGAGTTGTGCAGCCATTGCCACAGTTAATATTAGTACATTTTTATCACTCCAAATAACAACTCTGTACTCATTAAGTTTATCCCCATTTCCTTCCAATTCCACCAATCCTTAAGTAACCTCTAATCTTCTGTCTATTTGTATAGATTTGCCTCTTCTGGACTTCAGATAAATGGAATGGTACATTGTGTGATATTTTGTGATTGGCTTCCATTTAGTGTATTTTACATGTTCATCTGTATATATCAGTACTTCATTTTTTATTGGTCAGTAGTATTCTGTTGTATGATATACCATAGTTTGTTTATCCATTTAGGTTGTTTTAACTTTGAACCCATTATAAATAACTAGAGGCCCAATGCATGAAATTTGTGCAAGGGGCTGGGCCCCTATCTTGCCTGGGCCCCTGCCCACCATGATGGCTTCGTCTAGAAGGACGTCCGGTCTAATTAGCATATTATGCTTTTATTTTATAGATGCTGCTATGAACATTTGTGTAAAAGTTTTTGTTTGGGCATTTTTTTTTTTTTTTTAATTTCTCTTTAGTATATATCGGGGATTGGAATTGCTGGGTTATATGGTAACTGTTGAGTCTTTGAGGATCTGCCAGATTGTTTTACAAAGTACCTCAACTATTTTATATTCCCACTAGCAGCATATGAAGGTTCCAGTTTATTCACATCTTTGCCTACATTTGTTATTATCTCTTTTTTACTATAGCTATCTAGTGGGTATAAGGTGGTAACTTGTTCTGGTTAATTATCTTTTTTTTTTAACCTGATGTTGGGATGTCCAATTTGGAAATCTAAATGACTGCTACTGTCCTTAGACTAGAGGTATGAATAGCCTATATTCTTTTGCTAAATTTGTCTCAGTGATAGCAAATGGTGCAAAGATGAGGTTAAATAGAGAACAAAAATTTTAAATTGTATCATTTTCCCTATGCTTCACTCCATCTCTCCCTACCTCCCTTTTTGCTTAATTTTTCTTTAAATCATTTTTCATCATCTGATATACTTTGTGCTTTACCTTTTTAATTTTCTGTGTCTTATTACTTAAATCCTGTGGTTTAGATTTTTAAATTAGTATAGTAATTTAAACCATATGTTGATTAGTGTACTCAGCACATATTTGTTGAATAAATTAAAGTATAGGTTGAAAATGATTTATATGTATAATAGCTCCCATCTACGATGTTGGACCAGTAGTTTACAGGGAAATGAAATTTGATTCAGTTTAAAAAGTATTTTAGTGCTAATTTTAAAACATTAATTGAGTTCAATGAAATAGATTAAGCTATATTAGATGTTGCCTTTACTAAAAATTTTTATAAGAATTAAAAGAGTTTTGCATTCAAAAGATGAGATTTTAGTTTTATTCTTTTCTCACTATTGTCAAGCTTAATTGTGTGTTCTGTTTTTAAGTGAACTATATTATTTTAAAAATCTGAATTTTTTCCCCGTCTACTTAAATAGGAATCAAATTGAAAATAAGTCAATTCCTATAAATAGAATATAGCATTCTTATAATTACATAGAATAATGTTTTTTATAATTATTCCTTTATTCGAATGTAATATTCGTTCTTTATCTCTATGTATTTATCATGTACATAATATACAGTTCCTGTAAAGATGAAAGTAATGAAGTCTTAGAACTAGTCTGCAGGGGATATACAGTTTATCGGATAGGAGATATAGGTGAATATAAATAACTAATAATACAAGGAAGATTTTAATAAGTGCAATAAAGGCTATGTTTTTTGAAGGGGGGAGAGATTATATGAAATTATCTGGATAGGTGTTAATTATACTTTGCTTTAAAAGATGAATATTATTTATACTGGTAGAAGAGATACAGTGGCATTGAAATAGGAAAAAATAGCATGAATAAAAGTGCAAAAATGAAAAAGTAGAAGACTTATAGATGGAATACCTAGTAGCAAATGAATGGTTCTAGTAGCAAATTGTGTGTTCTGTTTTTAAGTGAACTATATTATTTAAAAATCTGAATTTCTCCCCGCCCCCTACTTAAATAGGAATCAAATTGAAAATAAAGCAGTTCCTATGAATGGGGAATATAGCATACTTATAAATCTTAATTTCCCTTAAGTTTTTTAAGTTTAGCTTAAAAACATTGCATTTAGAAGTCAAGTACATTTTAATAATAACTTTTTAGAGGGCCTTTAATGTTTGATAAGATTCATTTAAGTAGAACAGACTAAGATTTTTATTTTTTATATATATATATATTTTATTGATTTTTTTTACAGAGAGGAAGGGAGAGGGATAGAGAGCTAGAAACATCAATGAGAGAGAAACATCAATCAACTGCCTCCTGCACATTTCCCACTGGGGATGTGCCTGCAACCAATGTATGTGCCCGCAACCAGCGTACATGCCCTTGACTGGAAGGGACCCTTGAGTCCTACAGGCCTAAGCTCTATCCACGAGCCAAACCGGTTAGGGCCAAACTAAGTTTTTTAAACAGCCCCATTGCAACTCCATTTCCTTTAAACAATTTAACATCATTTATACATTTTATTTTATTTTCTTTTAAACAGCACTTCACATGCTTGACTCAACAAGCTCCCAAGTTCTTAACTCTTAAAATATAATAAATTAAACATATTGTGAATTTTTAAGTTTTCGGAAACATTTACATACTTTTGCAGGCTTAATAATATTTAAAAATACCTTTCAACTAAAAATCAAAAGTTTAAACACATTTTTAGTGAGAATCTTAAGGGCACTGTCACATACTGTAATATACCAATTATGTTTAAATATTTCAAATAGCAAATACTACATAGTTTATTCTAATGAGTCTAAAAACTGTTCCTGAATACAACAGAAAGTATTGAAGACTGTGGAAATTGTTTCTTAGGCTTTTTGAAAATTCATAATCATTACATATTTCATTTAAGAACTAGGGCACTCAGTGTTTGGTAAGGAAACGAGTAGTTCAGGCCCCAGCAAGTGGTCCAGTTCACAGTGCAAGGATCATTGGGAACTCAAACTTTGAACTTCAGTAGTGAAATAACTAATTCACTTTAATTAGTTAATTGAGTGTTAAGTGAGAATAATATAATATGTATTGTGATAAGAATAAAAATAATACATGGAAAAACCTTTAACACACAGTATGCAATCGATATAGCTACAACATGATGTATATGTTTAAAACCTTAAATTTCTCTTCTAATTTTTTTCTCACCTAAATAAAACACTAGATTATAGCTTTGTTAGGGTACAGACTGTATTTTTTTTCACTTATATTCACAATACAGTACAGTATGTGTACAGACAGTCTTAATAAATATACTGTATTGAATGAACGATTACTATACCCTTGAATTACAGATGGTGGAGGTACAGGTGGATTGTGACTTGTTGCAGTGACAAGTTGTTAGTGGAACCAACACTGGGTTTTAGATTTCTTAACTTCTAGCTTTTAGCAACTGGTTTGTAAATAAATAATAGCATAATTTGGATATGACTAAGCCATTTTCTAGAGAATTATTTTTGTTATACCAAGTTTATATAACATAAAATCAACAGTTTGACACAAAAAGCCAATTATGAAAAAATAATCATTGAACTTATTTATGGATTTTCATAAAATATTTTTTAAAAACTTTTTCTTTTATACTATTTGCTTTTTTTTTATTTTAGGGACATTACTGTGGTGTGCCTTGATTGTGATTTCCTAGCTGATTTTTCTGGCTTAGATAATATGGCTGTACACTTGAGTAAGCAGGAAACTCATACTTGCCAAGTTGTAGGAAAAGGTATGTATATAGACAATTGTGTTACTTTGGATTTTTGATATTTTTTTCACTATTTTTGGTCAGCCACAATATAGTAATTCTTTCTCATCATATTTCATCAGTATTAAATAGAAAACTTTTTTTTTTCTAATTTCAGTTTCTGCTCGTATCCCAACTTCTGAACATCTTTCTAAGTAAGTTTAATTTTTATTTAGTGCCTTTTACTTCGATAGATTTTAGCATTATTGCATTTTTAAATGTATAATTAATAGAAATGAAAAATATTAAAGTATTTTGTGTTTTTGTTTTTTTTTTTGTTCTTTTTAAAGCTGCTTGTTGAAATAGGTTCCTGCTCTATGGAGCTCGTGACCTGGTGCGAGACAAGTTGGAATTTCCTAAGTTCAAAGTTCTGAGATGTTTTCTTACACAAAGGCAGTTAAGCAGCCAAGTTCATGACACTAGCTCTCATTATTCAGCTTTTTTCAGCTTCAAATGAGACTAGGTTCTTTATTCCACCTTATCTTTGTGTCAGGTTGACATATCTTAACATATGTTGTTTTCTCCAGTTGGCTCTTTCCAAAATAACTTTTGTTGCTACAGTCATTTCTTACTTTGCTTAAAATAATTTATGTTTTTCTCTGTTGTACTTGCCTTCAGAATAATACATTTCAAATGATATGGCTGTTTGTCTTTTTGTCTATTTTGTCTGCTTTCTTAATTTCTTATAGGCCTTCAGTGTTTAGGCCCGATGATTGTCTTTTTCCTCTTTCGTTGTCTGTCATTGTGCTATTTTTCTTATTTTTCAGATGCAGAAGCAGCACAGAGATTTCAAAAAATGTCCAGGGTACACCTGGACAGTGTCCCCCTTCGATGGACACAACTGGTGCCTATTCTCTCTTTCCAAGGAATGGGAATAATTTTACAGTGGGACTTGTTCTAGGTTGTGGTCTCAAGAAATCAGGTCTTGAGGAGACTTCCTTACTTCAAGACTGGCCTCCCATAAGGTTGATGCTAATTTACCCAGAGGTGGCCTCAAAGCCCACCAAATTGAGCACAAATTTCCTCTGGGTTCTTGGGCTCTTGATGTTAAGCTGGTGGATTACTTCTGGCCAAGAATAGCCCATCAAATCAATACTCAGTCCAAGTTGAAGCTTAGTCATTTTGGCTACTGCCCTTTAATCTTCCTCTTGCATGAATGCAGTCCAAGGAGTATAAAAGCTTTGGTTGTTAGGAAGCCATAGTTATTTTCATGTCCCTGGAGCAACAGGTCTCTACAATTATGTTTCAAAATTGCAGTTACATTTATTGTTATTTAAAATATATTACCCAGTTCTAGCTCTATAGTTTTCAACAATACTCAGCTTTTTTATTTTGAATAAGTTAATTTAATTTTAATTGTTTTTTTTCTCCAAATTTACTGATATTACGATGTTTATTTTTATACTTTTTACTATTCTTTAAATCTGTTTAGTGTTTGCTCTGTTTTGCAAGACTTCCCTATAATTCTCTACATTTCTCTATGGCTGCCTTACTTAGAGCTTTTTAATTTGGATGTTATTTATACTATTAGATATTACTGTATTTTCTCTTATTTTGGGATTATTATTAATATTATCTTAATGATTATGGGTTCTCAGCTGTAAAGAATTGCCAAAACCTCTTATAGATATTAAAACAAGTTTTAAAGTTACATATTTGTCTAGCTTGTACATAGTATCTAATTTACCATTAAGGAACTTTTTTTGGGTAAAAGGTATCATTAAAAAATATGGGGGTGCCTCAGCTGGTTAGCTAAGTTAGTTGGAGTGTCTTCCTCGCCAAAACCAGTTTGACTCAGTGGATAGAGTGTCGGCCTGTGGACTGAAAGGTCCCGGGTTCGATTCGGGTCAGGGGCATGTACCTTGGTTGTGGGCATATTCCCAGTAGGGGTGTGCAGGAGGCAGCTAATCGATGTTTCTCTCTCATCGATGTTTCTAACTATCTCCCTTCCTCTCTGTAAAAAATCAATAAAATATATGTATGTGCAGCCCAGTAAATGTTTAACTCAGTTACCCTTTCCATATATCTGTTAACTCCTCTCAAAACAAATTATCAGAAATGGTGTACTAGATTTTTACTATTATTTATTAGTATGTTGATTAGTATCTTAAATTTAATCCTGAATGTTACTAGCAAGTGTAGAGTATTAAGAATTGGTTGTCTTTACTACTGGCTAGTTGTACAACCTCTTTCCAGCTTTTTTTAATAGTATGCTTACAAATATTCTTAAATTGAAGATTAAATTTTGAAAATCAGCATTGAAATTTTTGGCTTTAAAATATTATTGGAAAGAAAGAGTGTGGCCTGGCTGAAATGAATCATTTTCTCCCTTTTAGCTCCTTTCCTCATCCGATGGTATGTTTATGGTGTGAATGAAATTTCAAAAGAACATATGAATGCAACGGACCAAAAATATTCATTTTACATCTAACTTTAGGTCATCTGACCTTCAGAATAATGCAAATAGGGACATTTATTTCATTTTCAACTTCAGAGGAAAGAAATTGTTCTTGAGAAATAAATCAGAAAGATTTATTTCAGCAGGTTTATATACAAAAGAAAAATCAAGTATTTGCAATCATGTACTTTAATTATTTGTTGTTGAAATTGATCACCAGTTAGTCCTGTTTTCTTTACATTGAAGTCTTAAATAGTGTTTGTTGAAATGCTACCCAACACTTTTCTATAAAAATTTATGACAACATTCACAGGTAAAAAGTATAATTATGTAATGGCAGATTCTTAGCTCAGAACTTTGAGCTTAGCAAATTTCACTGTCTTCTACCAAGCAATTGAATATCTCAAATGATGACTATTTCAGCAGGTATCTTTAATGAATAAAAATTATAGGTAAAAACTTTTTTTCTTTTAAAAATATGTTAATAATGTATTCATAGTGCATTATAATTTGTTAAGTATGCTTTCATATTACAATAATGTATACATTTTAGTGATGAAGGTGATAATTCAATGAAATTTTAGATAGTGTACATTTAAATATTTATAGATTTTTTTTTAATGTTTTTACTGGTTATTATAATTCTATTCATTAAACAGAATACTAATATGGATAAAACCCAAACAGAATTGAAATCCCAATTTTGATAAACGTCTTAAGGCTAGTTATTTTAATAATTTATTTTGTTCTCATCAGTTTCTTAGCCAGTAAAATGGAGAGTAACAAAAAAACTCTTGTTACCAAACTCCATTGCAAAGATGATAAGTACTCAATATCACCAGTTGAAATGCAGTAATATTAACACATGCTTAATAAGTAGCTTTCATTTTAATTGCTGTATAACATCAATTTATTAGGATTGCCATATGTGTAAATGGTTATCATGATAATGTTTAAGAATGTAAGTTCTTTGATAATATTTTCAATAGGCTGAAAAGAAAAAGGCTTTTATAAAATACTCTTAAATTGCTTTGTGACCAATTTGTTTCAGTTTTTCAAACTAAGTTTAAGATTATTAAATGCTTAGAAACAAAAAATCAATTGTAATTTACAAGTTTATTTCAAAACTTCATTAACCCAATACTTACTTGTTTTATCAGATTAATTTTTATGTTTTCTTACTGTTTTATACATGTTAATCTTATTTTTCCATATATAAAATCATTAAAGCAGTGAAGTTTTACTGTGTATTTGATGTTATTTTTTAATAAATATTATATTGTTCACAATTAAATACTTGAGAATTACAAATCTTTAACCCGAAAATGATTGACATTTGTGCATTTTTCTCACTTTTTGTGCAAATTTTATTTATTTACATTTGTTTAGTAACTTAGTTCTAGTTATTTTAATACACTACCAATATAGTTCTCATTCACAAAAGGACATGCTCTATTTTAAATTATTTGCAATTTTATGTAATAACTAAAACATAGGTAAGTAATTCCCTAAGAGAATGGATAAAGAAAAAGGGTTTTTACCAATTCGATATTTCAATTACTAATTATGAGAGTAGCTTTTAGCATGGTTGACACAGATGTCTTCATTTGTGTTCATAAAATTTAGGTTAGTATAGCTATTGCTAATGTTAAATATATTAATATTTAAGTGTAACTATTAAACCTTCATAAAGTTATAAAATACCCTGTTAATGGCATTTCAGATCAGGTAGGTCTCCTAATTATGCAGATTTTATTATATATAATATCAGCAAGTGATACAGTCATCAACAGTTTCTGAAATAAAAATATTTTGGAAAAGTTAGTTTTTATATTGAATTGATTATTTTAAAAGTTTCATAGGTGGCATATGCCTTTGTTTACATAAGAAGTTACAGTTACTAACTATAGTTTTAGAAATCAAGAAGTTTAAAAAAAAAGTTATAGTTAATATTTGGACTATACTTATAAAGGTTTTTAAGAGAATATATCCTTCAAAATTCTAATTTTCTGTGATTTTAATCACCACTAGGTAAGTTAATTGTAACAGATACTGAAATTGCATTATTATTCAATTTCACCATAGATAATATAAATTTTCTCACATTTTAAGTCTTATAATAATAGTCAATATTAATGCATATCACATAACCATATAGCCTACTTTTAGTTTTTAAAGAATAAATCTTTTTTGAAACTGTTTTGCTAATGTATTATGCCATTTATTTTAAATTGTACTGTTTTATCGGTTTCCATTGTAATTATAAAAAAACCAATACTTATTTTGTTTTCAAGATTAAAAAATGAAGCTCCCATTAAGGAACAAAAACCTGTGTCTGAGGTAAATTTTGTCTTATTTTATACTTTAAAGATTTATACATTAGAAAGCATTATTGGTGTGGTTTTTTCAGAAAAAGATTTAATTCAACAGGCTTACATTGATAACAATTGTTGGCATGTTATCAGGAAAAATTGAGATTTAAAAGAAATTTTCATTAGATATAAAAATATCTCATCTTAAGTAAAATTGTAAGATGGTTTTGTTTTGACAAAGACATTATATATTTCACTTGTTTAATTCAACTAGTGAGTGATGAGAATAAATTTATGATTTTAAAATTCTGAAATCCGTAAAACCTCAAACATTTGGTACATTGGAAAACTAATCTTTCCAGATGATATAACTATTTATTTATTTTTTTTAACTTAGACTGTTAAAAATTTAACTTAATTTTTTTAAGCAAAAATATTTTGGATATATGGTAACTATGTTTTAGCTATCTTAAAAGGTACTGTGAAAATAATACTCAGGGTTATCATATAAATGTTACTGGGCAGTTTAATAAATGAGAAATTTCTAATTTCTAAAGTAAAAAATAATTTTGCTCAAGTGCTTGCTTTCTTGATGTTAATTTTTTTAAATGTTACTTAATATTATTTGTGATGTTTTTGCTGAGTATAATGAAATGAGGCAGGTTTAGCATTTATCTTTTGCATAGCATTATGTCTTATACAGTGTAAGTAAAATCAAGGCAAAAGTAGCAGCCTTCTTCCAAGCAGCTTTTATACCAAACAACTTCTTTTCTTTTGTATTTAACTACAAATAAATTTCTTTAATAAATGTAGGATGTTTTGGTTATCTGTTTATTCTTGAGTTGTTTCAGTAGTTTGTGGTTTTTAAGGAATTGAACATTTAATCTGAGATGTTGAATTTATGTGTATAGAGTTGTTTGTAGTATTCCCTTATTCTTTTAAATGTCTGTGGGTTCTGCAGTGTTTAATCCTCTCTTTTATTCCTGTTATTGGTAGTTTCTGTGTGTTTTATCCCTATTATTCTCATGTACTGTATATTACCTAAAGACAGAATACAATATTACTATTTTTGCTTTAGTCGGTTACTTAGTAATTAAAACTTTTTAAAAAATAGTATTGCATTTACCTTCGAGTCTACTATTTCCAATAGACTTCATATCATTATGGAGCTCTTTTTTTCTGTTTAGTATCATATTCCTTTGGCCTAAAGAACTTTCTTTGCTATATTTTTCATTACATATCTACTGATAAGTAATTCTATTAAAAATTTTCCCCATTTTTTAAAGTTATTTTTTGTCAGTATAGAGGGTTGACAGTTTTCTTTCAGCAGTTTAAAGAAGGTATTGTAGCCGAGACTGGTTTGGCTCAATGGATAGAGCGTCAGCTAGGGGACTGAAGGATCCCGGGTTCGATTCCAGTCAGGGGCATGTACCTTGGTTGCGGGCATATCCCCAGAAGGGGATGTACAAGAGGCAGCTGATCAATGACACTTTCTCATCGATGTTTCTAATTCTCTATCTCTCTCCCTTCCTCTCTGTACAAAATCAATAAAATATATTTTTAAAAAATAATAATAAAATAAAGAAGGTATTGTATTGTCTCTTGGCTTGCATATGATCTGATGAAATGTCTTAATGTAATTTTTATCTTTTGTTTTTATGTATGTATGTAATATGTCATTTTTCTTTGGTTGCCCTTAAGATTTTATCTTTAGTCTTCATTATTTTGAACATGATTTGACAGTTTGGTTTGTTCATTTTTTTATTTATATGTTTATCTATTTTTTTTATTTTTTTATTTTTTTATTTTTTTGCATTTATATTGCCTGGTGTTCTCTAAGTTGTTTTGTATCTTCAATTTCTGGGGTTGCAGGTTCACATGTGTTGTATCATTTCATGTTAGTCCCTGTTCTTAAATGCCTGTTCTGGTTTCTACACTCCATCCCCCAATACACATTGTATTTTAGTTTGGGTAATTTCTATCTATTGACCTATTGGTTTATTTTTAAGTTATATCAGGTCTAATGATGAGACCATCAAAGGCATTTTTCATCTGTCATTATGGATTGTTTTTTTTTCTAGCATTTGCATTGATTCTTATAGTTTCTGACCCTCTGCTAAAATTCCCATACTAGACATACATGTTGTCCTTTTTCTACCAAACATTTAACATAATAATAGTAATTAAAAATTTCCATCCCATAATTCCAACTTCTGGGTCATATGTCAGTCTGGTTCTGCCAATTGCTTTGTCTCCTGTGAGTGTATCCCCAGCCCCTGCCCCACCTTGCTTTTCTGTGTATTGTATAATGTTTGTTTGAAAGCAAGACATTATTTGTAGGACTCAGATAAAAGTATATCTGAAAGTGGGCATACCTTTTCTTACGTTGGGTCATTAGTATGGGGCTTGGGTCCATGTAAGAGTGATTGGATCTGGATTTTTATCTTCTTCATTAGTTTGAACAGGTATTTCTTTCAAGTATACATGTGATTTGGATAGTCCCTTGAGTAGATCTAGGTAGTTAAGTATGAATGTTGGAAAACTTTAATTAATCTTCTAGATTTTTATCACATGCATTGTAGTGGAATCAATGTTGTCCTACCCCAGTAATATTTACTGTTACTACTATGTAATTTGTATAGCTTTCCATTTCCTCTTTAAAAATTAATTCCTTTCATATGCTAGATAGTAAAGAATGAAACAATAAAAGGTTCATAGAAAACCCTATGGTTTGGGATGGAGGCAGGGCTGTTTTGCATTGCCATACAGGCTGTGCACTCAGAACTCCAGAAGGCACTATCTTAGTACTCTAAAATATTATTGATATTTACTGTATTAGAAATTATAATTGTGAAGTCTTAAAATGTTGATATTTTACTGCCTATGGGTTCTTCTAAAATTTTTATTGTTTCCCATCTTAGGTTTAAGTCCTTTATCCATTTCAAGTTTGTTTTTGTGTATGGTATAAGTTGGTGAGCTAGTTTTCATTTTTTTGCATGTATCTGTTCAATCTTCCCAACACAATTTATTGAAGAGACTGTCTTAATTTCAGCATATGCTCTTGCTTCCTTTGTCAACTATTAATTGGGCATAATGGCTTGTGTCATTTTCTGGGTTCTCTGTTCTGTTCTATTGGTCCATATGTCTGTTCTTATGCCAGTACCAGGCAGTTTTGAGAACAGTGGTTTTGTAATATAGCTTGATGTCTGGTATTATGATCCCTCCAGCTGTGTTCTTTCTCAAGATTGCTGCAGTTATTTGGGGTCTTTTTTATTTCATATGAATTTTTGGAGAGTTTGTTTTAGGTCTGAAATGTGTCATTGGTATTTTAATGGGATTGCATTAAATCTATAGATGGATGATGTTGATTCTACCAATCCATGAACATGGTATGTTCTTATATTTGTTTATGTCTTCCTCTGTTTCTTTTCTCAACATCCTGTAGTTTTCTGAGTACAGGCCTTTTATCTCTTTAGTTAAGTTTATTCCATTTTTTGGTGCAATGGTGAATGGGATTGTTTTTTATTTTTATTTTATTTCTCTTTCTGTGAGTTAATTATTGCTGTATAAAAAAGCCATAGCTCTGGGTGTTAATTTTGTATCCTGCTACATTGCCAAAGTCTAGTAGTTTTTTGATGGAACCTTTTGGGTTTTCTAAATGCAATATCATGTCATGTGTGAAGAATGATATTAATAGTTTTACTACTTCTTTTCCAATTTGGATGCTTTTTATTTCTTCTTGTCTGATCGCTATGGCTAGCACTTCCAATACTATGTTGAACAGGAGTAGTGGAAGTGAGCATCCATGTCTTGTTCCTGTTCTTAGGGGAAATGGTTTTAGTTTTTGCCCATTGAGTATGATGTTCACTGTATGTTTGTCATATATGGCTTTTATTATGTTGAGATATGACTCCTCTATTCCCACTTTGCTGAGTATTTTTACCAAGAAAGGATGTTGGATTTTGTCAAATGTTTTTTTCTGCATCAATTTGTATGAATATGTGATTGTTGTCTCTCAGTTTGTTTATGTGATGTATCACATTGATTGATTTGTGGGTATTATACCAGCCTTGCATCCTGGAATAAATGTCACTTGGTCATGGTGACATTTTTTTTTTAAGGTAATGCTGGATCTGATTTGCTAAAATTTTGTTGAGAATTTCGGCATCTATGTTCATCAAGGATATTGGCTTGAAATTCTCTTTTTTTGTGGTGTCTTTATCTGGTTTTGGGATTGGGGTAATGCCTGCTTCATAGAAAGTGCTTGAAAGTGTTCTTTCCTTTTGAATTGTTTGGAATAGTCTGAAGATGATAGGTTTTAGTTCTTTGAATGTCAATAAAACTCCCCTGAAGTTAACAAATACGATACTTTTTCTGAAAAATAGCTGTTTCCCAAAATAAACCTAAAAGAATGACATTGTTTTTCACTTTTGCGTATCTCTTTAATGTCTAGTTTAGTAGAAGAAAACTGAATTCTCCTGTGTCTGCATTCAGTCTGATGTGATATATTATTTTGGTTGAAATTTTATAAAGAATATCAGACTTATCTAGTACTTTAAAAATCTTTTCAGATAATTCTGATTATTCTCCTTTAATATTACATCAAAAATAGACAAGTGGGCCTTAGTCAATTTGGCTCAGTGGATAGAGCGTTGGCCTGTGAGCTGAAAGGTCCCAGGTTCGATTCTGGTCAAGGGCACATGCCTGGGTTGCAGGCTCGATCCCCAGTAGGGGGCATGCAGGAGGCAGCCCATTAATGATTCTCTCTCATCACTAATGTTTCTCTTTCTCTCTCCATCTCCCTTTCTCTCTGAAAGCAATAAAAATATATTTTTTTTAAAAAAATAGACTAGCAGTTTTCTTAAATATGTATTACAATGTGTAATCGACTCCATTTAACTACATTTTTTTTTGTACTTCGTTACATTAAAATCTATTATTCTGTCTTAAACTTTGATTGAATATTTGATCCATGGTTGATTTTATGTCAGGCATTGCTCTTTGTATAATATTGGATCACTGAGTTACTTAAATCTTCCAAACGTTAACATGTTTCATTATATAATATCAATTATCACGTACATTAAGATTATTATATCATCAGTGGTGAATACAAGTTTTCCTAAAATTTAATTTTTACTTGAATTTTATTATCAACAACAAATAATATCAGTTGTTTTCTTTAGCATAGCAGGTTCAATTTGTCGATTTTCAAGAAAATGTCTACTGAACAGCCAAGTTTAAATGCCTTTAGTTTTACAGTCATTCTTGCCCATACTTTGCCGGTCATTCTTTAAAATAAAAACAATGTTAAATAGAAAAAATATGCTAGGTTTTGCTCACAGTTTATCATCGACTGAAGTATTTTCAATATGCAGTACTTTATGCATACATTCTACTTTATCACAATATTAAAAAGACATGCTAAAGGATTGAAATATAATAAAATCATATAACATAATAAAATTTACTGCTGGTGTGTGCTGGTAAAGAAAACAATGATTGCCAGTATAATTTTGACTTAATGCCATTCCTTTGATTTGTGTTAAGATGCCAGCATTTTCACCCTCCACTGCTTTTGTTTTAACCTCATGTGCCTTGGGTGTATTGGAGGCCCTAGGTGTCTGTGAACCACACTCAAGCACTGCTTACATGGTTTTATATTTGTATGGTCACCTCCTGGATTGCATGGGAATTATTTAAACTTAAACATATAAAATCGGGTGCTCTGCTGGCAGGTTTAATGGTGGAGAGTATGGTTTCAAAACCATTATGGGAAGTCTTTTCTTTGGGGCTGGTAATTTTCTCCGAAGAGGAAGTCTTCTACGTTCTAGTTGGGAATGGTAGGATGAAGAGTAATTCCTCTGGCTCCTGGGACTATGGATTCCTTTACTCAGTTTATGGACTTTTATTAATTTTTAAATTTTATTTCTGTTTCTCATGTCTGCCCTTTGTTGTGATGGTGTTTGATCACAAGTTTACATTGTGTCCATTTCAGAGTTAACCTTGAGCCACTGTGTAAGGATAGGTATCTGTTGTCTGAGTTAATTGAGAAAGCATTTAGATTTCTCAGCAGTCTTTGTGCTTCATTTTTACCTTTTCTGTACTGAATAGTGTACTGAATTCCTTCAACTACCAGATTTCTTGGGTTGCCTGGATAAATTGATTCTCTTCTTACCCTTCCCACTCAGATGTTGTGTTGTAACTTCCTCGACATTATGAAGTCAGTTTCCAGTCCTCCAGCCATTTTTCATTTAAAAATTTGTTGAAATCTCTTTGACAATAAGTTTGCTTTGGTGTTTTCTTGGTCTTTATGAGTGAAAATGGTTTCTTTCTTTGCCCTCACTGTAACAAGGTTTTGGAAAAGTGAGGAAATAAGTGTATGTGATTAATATGCCGTTATCACAGGCTTGTTTTAGTCATTATACTGGCTAAGAGCTAGATCTGGATTTTCATCTGTATCACTTATTGTGGTATTGCTTTAGTTCTCTACTTAACCTGTGAAGTCTTATTTTTCATTTGTGAAAATAGAATTTATGATATCTAATATGAGAATTAAATGAGATAGTGAATATAAAGTTCTTAACATACTACATGCATTATATGTGCTTATTAATTGATAATTCATAAACTGTTTTGCTGGCCTCTTGCAAACTGAGGTTTTATTATATTCCTTCCTCTCCATAAAAGATTGGAAATAATCAAAATATTGAATTTGTCTATCATTTATTATTACTTAGTTTGACAATGGAAGGGTTACTGTGACTCATATGAAATGATAATTTTCACAAATGTTTGTATTTAAGTGTCTATACTTAATATGTTTATATAGGAAATAGTATGAATACAACTTGTTCAAATATAAGTTTTCTAAAATTGTAATTAGTTTTCTATTCCAGTAAAATGAATTGAAAGTTGAAAATTCATGTATAACTTTAGACTTACCTCAAATTTAACTATAGTATGATTATTCTTAGGTGTCTGCAGTGGGTTGGTTTCAGGACCTCATTCCCATCCCCAAGGATACCAAAGTCCATGGATGTTCAAATCCCTTATATAAAACAGTATAAAATATTGCATACAGTTGGCCTTCCACATCCCTGGATTCCCAACTGCAGATTGAAAATACTGTTTTTAATCCAAAGTCGGTTGAATCCACCGAAATGAAACCAAGGAATTTAGAGTGCCTACAATATATTTATTGAAGAAAAATATGCATTTAAATGAACCTGCACAGTTTAAACCCATGTTGTTCAAGGAACTGTGATTGTAATTATGGTCCATATTTGAAACAGAATCTAAGGAAACCAGGTATTCTTATAACTGGATAACTGTTTCATGACTTTGATTCAGAAACTTGTGGTACAAAGAATTTTGTATAGGTTTCTTTAAAAACAATTTTAAAAATTATACTTTTGATAATGAGAATGATTCTAGTTTGTATTTTTAATTAAAAATTATTTTTCTAGTTCCTTGATATATAAGATTGCACACTTAAATTTCTTTTATCCAGAAAGGTTAGTATAATAAAAGTAGTTTAAGCTGATCCATGATGATAAATTATTATTTATCATTTCAGAAAATTGTAAGACCTAATATGGCTGAAGGAGAAACAGAAACATCAAATTCTGAAAGGTAAATATAAGGGAAAACTGAATCTCTAATCCAAGTATGTGTATAAAATGACACTTAAGTTGTATTATTGTAGTTAAATAAAGGAGTATATGTGGGTAGATATAAGAAATAAGACTTGTGTTCTCATAAATTAATTTTCACTAGAATAAGCATTGTTACATCTAGATAAGGGGCTAGAGATCCTTAGAAGTCTTTTGTTTCTAATGTTTTATTATTTACTAGATAGTTTCTATTAACATATAAGGGTAAGAGTAAACACATAGACACACACTCAAACATATATATATATACAAGCATGCACACACATCTATGAATATATGCATGTATATTTACATATACTTTTCAGGAATATTTTTGTGTTTTCTTTAATTAGGTTGTTAAAAATTAGGAAAATATTTGTGAATGCTTATCAGATTTTGCATAGGGAAAGTCTGTAACCATAAGAGGACATATAAGTCATAAAAGATAGTTATTTTTACATACTGTATTTCTTATTTAAAGCACTCTTAGAAATTAATAACAAAGCATAAATTTTAACTAAAAACAGGCAAGATTCTGGAGTTTTTCATTCTTGCCTCAGCAAATGGCCATGTCCTAAATTGTAATATGGCAGGAACCGTGAACCTGTTTGTTTTCCCCTCCTTTTTGATGTGCAAGTGGGCCTTGGCTTTTTTTTTTTTTTTTTTTTTTTAATTAGAGCATGTCTTTATTTTGATAATGTTAAAAATATTGTATTATAAAGCAATAGATAATAAATGGCCTTATCTTTTCAGTAAACATGACAAAGCTGCTTCAGAGGAAAAAAGTGGATGTGATGCAAATGCATGTGAAGGCTCATCAGCAACAAAAAATGAAGAAAGCATAATAGTTCCAGATAAGGAAAACGGTACCTGTCTTGAAGACAAGGAAACTGGCTCAAAGAATATCTTCAGTTATGTTTCAAATACTGGTAAAGATAAAGTGGAAAAGGAAAAACAAATAGAACACATAGATCAGGAAACAGAGTTGAAGATGTGCCAAAGTTCAGGAAACATAATTTTATGTGATCAGATTAAAGATGAAAGCTCCAATGTAACTAGGTTTTCTTCAAAGAATATTAAGGATTTGCGGTTAGCATCTGGTGATGTGAGCATTGATCAATTTTTGAGAAAAAGAGATGAACCTGAATCTGTTAGTTCTGATGTTAGTGAGCAAGGCAGTATTCATCTGGAACCTTTGACTCCGTCAGAGGTACTTGAGTATGAAGCCACAGAAATTCTTCAGAAAGGTAATGGTGATCCTTCAGCCAAGACTGATGAAGTAGTGTCTGATCAAAAAGATGATGTTCCTGGAGAAAATAGCCCTAGCACAACAGAGACAACAGTAGACCTGGCAGATGAAAAGGAAAGAAGTTGAAATTAGTTGTCAGTTTCAGTTTTAGTGTATCAATGGTACAAGCATTCAGATCAGTACTAGCAGGTGAGCTCAGTAGAGTTCAGAAATAGAAAAATGTGAGGCAGTCATTCATACATTTTATTTGTATGTTCAACCTAGGTTATTACAGAAATCAGTTCAATAATAGCATGATTAGTTTAAGTTTCCAAGAGGTTTTAAAACAAAAATAGAAAAGCTTCATTTAATAGTTCTCAAGGAACTAGAACTTTGTTGCCAGTATGAATTTATTATTAGAATATTATTTATGTTTATAAAGCAGTGAAACTTCCATCAATCCTAAGCTAAAAATCCTTATTACCTTTATATTCTTCTCAATTAACTTCAAAGAATAAATTTGGAAACCATATATCTTTTGGGAATTTTAAACTAATGACTAATTGGCATTGTTAATAAAGCTTTATTTGGAGTATGATGCTGGTAAATGCATAGAGTGTGAAATTAATGAATCTATTGAGAATTTTGATACACTTAAACAATTTTGGATTTAATATAACATTCCAGACTGTCAGAAGCATGTAAACAGAATATTTGAGTCTGTGAACCTCCATACATGTATTAGTCTGCCAGGCTGTAAGCTTACCTTAATTAAACTTTCAGTGAAAGTGAAATTAATAAAACATAAATTTATATTTGTACTTTTGTCAATGTGAGCTGTGCAGAAATCCCTTGATGTTGCTAGTTGTATAAAGTTGAAACCCATTGTTAAAACTCCTGCAGTTATTATGCTTTTAACGTTGTTTTACTGACCTTTAGAAATAGACCCATAAAAATGGTCTGGAAACCAAACCAAAGGATGGAATAATGTAGATATTGTAAAGCCGTCAGCTGAAACATGTCCTGGCGAATCCAGCCATGTTTAAGTGACATTTTCTTTCACTGTAAAATAGAAACTTCAAATGGGACCTAAAGCAGTGATGTAAAAAATTGTTTTGGGATATTTAGTCTAATTTATCCATAAGATGGCTGCTAAGTTGATTTCTCAGTTGTTTTTAATCATCTAGAAAATAATAGATTTAGAAATGAGTAAATGAATAACTGTAGTTTGCTTTAAAGTACTAATAAACTTTTATTTAAAATGTTACATTTTTATTTCTTAAATTGTGCTTTGAATCCTTAAATTTTGTTTCACTGAATATTAAATGTTTTAAATGTCTGTTAAAATCTGCTGTATATAGTAGTTTTTAAGTAAATATTTCCAATAAAAATATGAGCCTGAGTAATTTTATTTCTCATAAAACTGCTTGAATAAGTTTACCTTTGGCGCCTTTAGAAACTATATTTGTTTAAGGAATTTTCATGTAAGTGGTAGGATTTTATTCTGTATTTTTAATTGGTGTATTATATATCATAAATTAATACTTAAAGTACAGGGGAAAATACTGCTAATATTTATAGAGAATGGACTTGTTTGCTGAATCCTTTCACTTCAAGAGGTATATTATTTAATATTATAGTTTTCTGTCTGCTCAGTACATTAAAGAGGCTAAATGGCAAAATATATTAACCTATTTTCTTGAATATTTGAGAGATAGGAGTATAAATATTTTCACTTTTTTCTACACCTAAGCAAAAATAGGGAAGAAAGAATCCATTAACTGTCACCCTTCACCTTGTTGAAACATACATCTATATAGCAGAAAAGATTAGGGGAGTAATTTAAATCTTAGAAGACCAGGGAGTAGATAAAAGTTTATGTAAGGACCACTTTCTGAATGTCATTAAGTTAGTTGCCAAGCCTATTCTTGAACCTTGTACCAAAATAAGTCCAAATGACATATAATCCCTTTTGAGCTTTGGGGTTGTTCTTTTTCTGCCTCTGTAAGAATAGTGGTATTCAAAATAGTTAATCAGTAAACTGACTTTTAGAGAAAAAGCAAGTGAGGAGAGAAAGAGAAACATTGATGTGAGAGTGAGACTGACTGCCTCTTGTATCCCCCTATTTAGTTCAGGCAATGTGTTGGGAATCAAATGGGCAACCAACCAGCCAGAACATAAACATTTCTTTTAAAAGAATTGTTAAGATATGAGTTAGCTTGTTTTTGTTATACGTAAAAGATGAGGAAATCAACTATGTGGGCAGTTAATTTGCTTAAGATTACAAAGCCACAATTGAACTCGATTTGATTCTGATTTGTTTTCTACCTTACTTATAGTTCTTATCATTGATGCTGAATGCTACTTATTAAAATAAATATATTTTGCCGAAACTGGTTGGCTCAGTGGATAAAGCATCGGTCTGCGGACTGAAAGGTCCCAGGTTCGATTCTGGACAAGGGCATGTACATTGGTTGTGGGCACATCCCCAGTAGGGGGTGTGCAGGGGGCAGCTGGTCGATGTTTCTCTCTCATCAGTGTTTCTAGCTTTCTATCCCTCTCCCTTCCTCTCTGTTAGAAATCAATAAAATATATATTTTTTTAATTTATTAAATTTTGGCAAATAACATTCCCATTGATGGTACAATTATAGTTGGTTTTATTATTTATACAGTTATATGTATATGTAACTTCTTAACCGTCCTAAAGAAAAGGACCTCGCGATCTTTTATAAGCAGGAATTAAGGAATTTTATCTCAAGAGGAGGGATTAGATAATCATTTTGTTACTAGGAAATACAGCATGCAATTTAAAGATATATTTTATAGCCCTGGCCAGTGTGGCGCAGAGAAAGATGTGTCTTCTGTCCCATTTCCCTTTTCACCCACTTTTCAAATCAGGCAACTGCCAATCTGTTCTTGTATCCAGGAGCTCAGGAATTTCTTTCTTTTTTTTTTTCGATTCCATATATCAGTGAGGTCATATGGTATTTATATTTCTCTGCCTTATTTCACTTAGCATAGTACCCTCACGGTTATGCATTTAGCAAATGACAAGATTTCACTTTTTTTTTTTTTTTGCTTTTGAAAAGTTTATTTTTTTAATTAAGGTATTATATGTGTAAATATCTCACCATTAAGATTTCACTTTTTAATGGATGAATAATATTCTAGTGTGTTGTGTATGTGTGTGTATCACATTTTCTTTAGGTGTTCATCCATCAATGGACACTGAGATTTTTCTATATCTTGGTTATTGTAAATATGCTATAATGAACATGGGTGCATATATCTTTTTAACTTTTAGTGTTTTCAGATAAATATCCAGAATATGAATTGTTGGATCATATTGATAGTTCTATTTTTATTTATTTTTATTTATTTTTTTTACATCCTCACCAAAGATTTAGGGTTTTTTGTTTTTTTTGTTTTGTTTTGTTGTACTTGTTTTTTAAAGAGAGGAAGCGGGAGAGAGAAACATCGATTGGTTGCCTCCAATATGTGACCCTAAAAGGGATCAAACCCACATCCTTTTTAGGTGTATGGGACTACACTCCAGCCAACTGAGACACCTGGTCAGGGCTGGTAGATCCATTTTTAATTTTTTCAGGAACCTCCATACTGTTTCCCATAGTGGCAGCACTAACTTACATTCCCAGCAATAGAGCATACAGGTTCCCTTTTCTCCATATTTTTACCAATATCTGTCATTTATTTTTTATAATAGCCATTCTAACAGGTGTGAGGTGATATTGTGGTTTTAATTTGCATTTCCATGATAATTGGTGATGTTGAATATCTTTTCATGTACCTGGGCTATTTGCATATCTTTGGAAAAATCTTTTTTTTAATTTTTTTTTAAGTTAAGTCATTATATGTGTACATATCTTAACATTACCCCCTCCACCCCACTCCCATACATGCCCTCACCCCCCAAAGTTTTGCATCCTTTGGTTATTATATGCATGCATAAAAGTCCTTCAGTTGATCTCTTATCTACCTCACCTCTCCCTAACCTTCCCGCTATAATTTGAGTCTGTTTGATGCTTTACTGCCTCCTTATCTGTCTTTTTGTTCATCAGTTTATAATGTTTTTTTATTATCCACAAATGAGTGAAATCATGTATTTCTCTTTCATTGACTGGCTTATTTCACTCAGCATGATGTTCTCCAATTCCATCCAGGTTGCTGCAAATGATGAGAATTCCTTTTTTATGGCAGCATAGTATTCCATTGTGTAGATGTACCATGGTTTTTGGATCCAATCATCTGCTGACGGGCACCTAGGCTGTTTCCAAATCCTAGCTATTGTAGATTGTGCTGCTATGAACATAGGGATGCATATATCCTTTTTGATTGGTGTTTCTAGTTTCTTGGAATATATTCCTAGGAGTGGGATTACTGGGTCAAATGGGAATTCCATTTTCAGTTTTTTGAGGAAACTCCATACTGTTCACAGTGGCTGCACCGGTCTGCATTCCCACCAGCAGTGCACGAGGGTTCCTTTTTCTCCGCATCCTCACCAACACTTGTCATTTATTGATTTATTAATGATAGCCATTCTGACAGGTGTGAGATGGAACCGCATTGTTGTTTTGATTTGCATCTCTCGGATAATTAGTGACTGAGCATGTTTTCATGTGTCTCTTAGACTTCCTTCTGTCTTTTGAAAATATTCTATTTAGGTCCGTTGCCCATTTCTTTTATTGGATCATTTACCTTCCTTTTATTAAGTTGTACAAGCTGCCTGTAGATTTTGGAGATTAAACCTTTATCAGTGAAAATATTTGCAAATATGTTCTCCCATGCAGTGGGCTTTCTTGTTGTTTTGTTGAGTTATTTCTTCTTGTTGGATTTCTCCCTTTAGTATTATGCAGTGGCCTTCCTTATCTCTTGTTATATCCTTCATTTTGAGATCTAATTTGTCGGATATAAAGTATTGCTGCCCCAGCTTTTTTTTTTTTTTTTTATTTCCATTCTCCTGGGAGACCTTTTTCCATTCCTTCCCCCTCAGCCTGTATGTGTCTTTTTTTCTGAAGTGGGTTTCTTGTAGGCAGCAGATATATGGGTCTTATTTCTTATCTAACCCATTACCATATTATGTCTTTTGGTTGGGGCATTTAATCCATTTATATTCAAAGTTATTGA